TACCTTAAGGTTACTTCCAATAACATATACTCTCAGTGTTGTGTTTGCGGTTCATGTTAAGTTTATACTGTTACTGTTGAAAACCAAAACAAAACATATTTAAACAAACAAAACAGAGGTCTTTTGTGCTGATATTTGGGAGGGCATTTGATTCCATCCGTTCCCCTGTCTGAAATAACCTCCCAGAAGATATCAGCAGAATTAGTGTCTGCGACTCCATTGCAATGAGATTGAACAGTTCCCACAGGGAGAAATATGAATGACAAGGAAACTATCCTTCTGGATGAAATGCTAGTTTAAGTGGACATTATCTCAACCTGGAACTACACAAGAAGCCCCCCTTTGATGCAGAATAAGACACACAATTGCAAGCTAAGCCAAGTTCAGTGCTTCTGTGGAATTAATTTGGCTCCAGGGACATTTTCTCTGCTTCACTCCCCCCTCCCCAGCAGCAACCCACATTCCTAAGAATTTCCCCCTCACTGCTGTGCCAGACACCTGAATCCACTTGCACCGGAGAGACATAAGGAAATACATCCTTCTGATGGTTTGTTTCACAGAAAGACTGGTTGGAACTGACCTTTATTAAATAACAGCACAATCCAAATCTTGCCTATTGAAAATAAGCCATACTAATCAAATAGAGCTTCTAAACAGACTTAGTTCTCCATTGCAGTTGGCTCTTTATGCAACTCCTTTGAAGCAGCCAATAGTAGCCTTAGCAGCCATGTCCCCATATTTCTCACACATTCGGAAAAAAGAATATTTTCTTCATTTTTGAAGATGTGTGCTTCTCCTCTTGAGCAATCCTTATATTTTAATTCTTAAGTGGCAAATAGATTTTCATCTTGTAAGAAGGATATGTCTCTTCTCGCCCTTCAAACAAACATACAGACTAGAGTCCCCATATTGCAACAAGTGAAAATCCAGACACAAAACTTATTTTGAGTTATTTTAAAGGAAATTCCAGCGATTACCACCTGGACACTGTTTCCAACTGCCGTCTTCCTTTTATGTTCGTATGGCAGCCCTAATGCAGACCATGATTTAGGGAATCAAATACTATTTATTTTCATTAAGTGGTGAATGGTTTGATACTTTTGATTGATTGATTTCTTACAGTATGCCAGATAGGTTCTACTGGCATATCTTGTCCTTCTTGTTCACCATCCAAGAGATCAACCGGGATCCCAGGCTCTTACGCAATATTACATTGGGCTACAGCCTCTATGAGAACTATTACAATGCAAGGATCACTTCTGACGCCATGCTAGACCTGCTTGCAGGTGGGGAAAGCAATATTCCAAACTATCGCTGTGGAAAATGGAATAATATATTGGCTGTTCTTGAAGGAGCCGATTCCATCATCTCCAAAGTGATTTCAACCACGTCAGGCATGTACAAAATCCCACAGGTATGAAGGGTGGGGCATGGAGGGACACAAAGAGGTTCAGCAGCAAAATAAATTCACTGTATCGTCAGCAGAGTCAAATGAAAGGCATCAAAGAGGGAGAAAATCCTGAACTATGTTAAGCTAGATAGCTCACTTGGTTAGAGTGTGGTGCTGCCAACGTCAAGGTTGCAGGCTTGATCCCCATATGGGACAGCTGCATTGCAGGGGAGAGGACAACATGAACCCCAGGGTCGCTTCCAACACTATGATTCTATGATTCTTCAACATGGAGACTTTGCTAGGGTTGCAGCCTCCCAAAGTTTCAAAATAAAACTATCAGCCCCAGTAAGCAAAATAAATAAAACCAGCAAAATATTTGGTAGGTATTAAATATTTCAGGCTAACCCTGTTCTTTGCTCTGAAAATGAAAGACTATACTTTTTCTTCCCCACTCCAGATCAGTTATGGCTTTGTACCTGGGGTTGTTGATGAGAACACTGAAGTCCCTTTTGTCTACCGCGTGGTCCCCAGTGAAGAAGTTCAGTACCTGGGGATTATAAAGATGTTCCAGCATTTTGGATGGACGTGGATCGGCCTCTTTGCTCCAGACAGTGAGAATGGAGAAAAGTTCTTGAGTGCCTTGAAATCTCTGATGGCCAGCAATGGAATTTGTGTTGCCTTTTCAGTAAAAACACCAGAAAGGAATGAACCTGGGAGGTTCACACAAAGTGAATTTATTGTCCTATGGAGACAGACCAATGTATTCCTTTACTATGTAAGCAGTTATAGGGGATTGGTTTTCATCATGTTACTACAACAAAAACTCGGGAAACAAATTGGGCCAAAAGTATGGCTCACAACAGCTTTTCAGGACATTGACACAAATTTGTCTTTTGGTCCGAAGTATTTGAAGTATATCCATGGTTCATTCTCCTTTGTAATGAAGACCAAAATAAGGAGCAAAAGTGACTGCGGTAAACCAGAGTCCTATCTTCTTAATCTGTTTCGGCAAAAAGCATTTAGTTGTTCAAAGTCAAAGCACGTCCTCAGTGTGAGAGGTTGGACAAGATGCAGAGATATGGAGAATCCGGAGGTGCCGTCTGAAGAGGAGCTGCAGAGTGTTCTGTCTCAAGACAGCCACAGAACATACTTCAGTGTCCAAATCATGGCACATGCTTTAAATGTTGCCTGTTCATCCAGATCAAAGCAGATGTTGATGGCGGGTGGAGGAGACCAGTTGGCATGTCAAAGGCTACAGCCATGGCAGGTATTTACTTTCCCTTTCTAGAAATCAAAGTTCTTTCTACCAACTCTACAATAATCATTCTCATTGATTTAGACACGAATGCAACAGTGAGGAAAAGGTTTTTGTTTTATTTATTTAGATTTAGATTCTTTTTTTAGGCTCCTGCTGGAAGATATATATATATATATATATATATATATATATATATATATATATTGTATATCATAAAATATCAAGGTGGTCTAATGCAATAAAAACCATAAGACCATATAATAAAACCAATAGAAGCCAAAACCAGTTAAAAGCAGACATCCCTCCACCTGGAGGGTGTCTCTTTAGTCTTGCCAGTAGGAGAAGTTGTGGCACAACAGGAGTTTTGAGTTCCAAGGAAGCAGGGATGAGGCATCTAAAATGCTTTCTAAGTTCGGGTGTTCAGTCCTCCGTAAATTCCAACGAGGCCAGGTATGCCAGGACTTTGGAGCTCAAAGGGATCAGGGATGAGATGTCTGAAATGCTTTGAAATGCTGGTGTTTTCCCTGTCATTCCAGCTTCACCCTTTCTTAAGACAAACCCGGTTGTTGAACACTTCCATGGGCGGACTATATTTGGGTGAGAATGGGGAGCTGCCAATCATGTTTGATATTGAGAATTGGGTGGTAATTCCCAATGAGTCTTGTGTTAGAGTGAAAATTGGGAGAATAGAGAGAGAGGCATCCACTGACTTCAAGCTCACCATTAACCCAGAAGCTATTGTGTGGCCCAAGTGGTTCAACCAGGTAAGAGCCCCTTATTCCACATGATACACATGAAGATCTAGTAATCTGTTGAATATTTTGAAGAGGAATTCAAGTATAATCTTTTGGAAGTTTGGCTGATGCTTTCATTATAATTAATTAAGTACATTATTAAATGTGTATAATGCTCTTCTGTAGGAGTGCAAATATCCAGAGTGTGAGGTCAGGTGGGATTACTATGAGGAATTATAAAATATGCATCAAGCCATTGTGTCCACGATGAATGCATTATGTTGACTGGGGTTGATACATTGACAATAATTTCTGATCAAATCCCATAACCCTCTGCATCTCTGGCCATTTCCTCTACTGCCCATTTCTCTCTCTTCACAAGTCACGTACACAGCCCAGTTACTTAGACAGGCAGGTATGGGGTATAAATAAATTATTATTGTTATTGTTTAAAAAGCAAACACAGTAGGGTGTTTTCCGTTCTATATCAAGCATAGGAGCCAACTCCTAGGAAAGTTGATGGGCATCGATTATGTGTTGTGCGGCTTACCTGGGCCCCCACAATATTTTATTCAAATTGGCACCCCTGACATCAAGGGTGCTTGCTTGTGGGACTGGAGACCCTGATGGGTTCTTTCCAGACTCTCTGAGTTAGTTCCATATGCACAAATATTGCTGACACTTCCCCTTTAATGTGCCATCTTTTCTTTATGGCTAGACTGTTCCTCACGCCAGGTGTACCAAAAGGTGTCGCCCAGGATATGCCATGGTGGTTAAAGAAGACAAGCCGGTTTGCTGCTACGCTTGTGTTCTGTGTGCAGAAGGGACCATATCTACACAGGAAGGTGGGTGACACCACAGGAGATGGAATTTGTTGTGAGAATATGAATAGGGCAACATATCAGTCAGAAACTTTCTGTGAAGATTCTAAAGACATATTTGGATGCAGATCCTTTATTGATTTCTTCATTTTTAATCCCCTTCCAGGAAGTTCTTTGAAAGAAATGACTTGCAGGAAGCAATCTCTGGGATGCAAATTGGGTTCAGCCTGCCCTGCCCATATGGCATAGCTTTGGCTATTTTATACCAAGCCTTCTAGGATCAGAGAACCAGAACCACCCTCACAAAAGGAAATTAAAATGTCTTCAAAATAAATGAGAAATAGTGAAAATAGCAAATATTTATTTAAAAGAGAGAAAGCATGATGCACAATAATCAAAAAAATTAGGTGAACATTCCATTCCATTGCATTGTAGAACAATTAAAAATTATGGAATTTCAGCAGGAAGTTATTGGATATCCCAGACAAGGAGTTTGAGAACAGCTGTAACAGCTTGGAAGAGAGGAGATCAAGAAATTAAAAATAAATAAATCATAAGTTGTGTGTCTTTGTTTCTCAGTTTGATCCTTTTACATGGTTTGCATGTTTTGTTGTATTTTATTCATTGTGACTTGCCTTATTTATTGATTATAGATTAGTAATTCTTTATTGTACATGATAAGTGTTAGCTGTTTATTATTTGCTGATATTAAATTTTACTGTTTACTATTCCTTAGTATTATTATTGAATAGTATGTTGTTTATTTTAAAGTTATGCTTTTATTATGACTTTTTGTGTGTGTATTACGTCTGTGATCTTTGCTGTCTATTTCGTAGTTTCTTCAGCTTGTAACCCTCCTTCTGCATAGCAATATAGAAAGGCAGTATACAAATTAAAAGCGAAATGAAATATGGAAATGAAGCGGTGTTACTGCCCGAAAACTATCCCATAAGGAAATGCACCGAAAAAGCTTTCCTTTCTTACAATACATTCTCATTTTCTGATGTCTCCCATAAGAGTGCATTTCTCGACATGTAATAGAATATGTCTGTAAGCAAAGCCACAGCCATTCCTTTTCTCCTCCTCAGATGCCGAGCGTTGCACCAAATGTCCAGAAGAACAATATCCAAACAAGGACCGAGATCACTGCATTCCGAGGATTATCACCTTCCTATCATATAAACAATATCTGGGGATTCTCCTGACTTCTTTGGCTCTCTTCCTGTCCTTAACCACAGGCTTTGTTGTAGGGATCTTCATTAAATACAAGGAAACTCCCATAGTCAAAGCCAACAACAGGGACCTCTCCTACATCCTCCTTGTCTCCCTCCTGCTGTCCTTCTTGTCCTCCTTCCTCTTCATTGGCCGTCCCAGGAAAGTCACCTGCCTCCTTCGACAAATGGCCTTCAGCACCATCTTCTCAGTTGCTGTATCCTCTTTGCTGTCCAAAACCATCATGGTGGTGCTGGCCTTCCTGGCCACAAAGCCAGGGAACAGGGTGAGGAGATGGTTAGGGAAAAGTCTGGCCAACTCCATTGTCCTTTCCTGCTCCAGTGTCCAAATGGTCATTTGCATCATTTGGCTGTGTATCTCTCCCCCATTCCCAGACTCTGACAAGCACTCCCAGGCTGGAGAGATCACCCTGCAATGCAATGAGGGGTCTGTTGCCATGTTTTATGCTGCCCTGGGTTACATGGGCTTCCTGGCTGCCATCTGCTTCACGGTGGCTTTCCTGGCCAGGAAGCTGCCTGGGGCCTTCAATGAAGCCAAGCTGATCACCTTCAGCATGCTGGTCTTCTGCAGCGTTTGGGTCTCCTTTGTGCCCACCTACCTGAGCACAAAGGGGAAATACATGGTAGCTGTGCAGATCTTCTCTATCTTGGCTTCTAGTGCTGGACTTCTGGGCTGCATCTTCATTCCCAAATGCTACATTCTTGTTCTGAGGCCTGATCTGAACACAAAGGAACACCTGGCCACAAAAACTAAAGTTGTTGCCTGATTATTAACATATTTATAACTGTTTTCCTCCACAGAGTTGCCTTGGGAATGATTGTATCTCCTTAGATAATGTTTGCTCTTCATTTTTCATTCATCTTGAATGATGAAAGGGAATCATTGAATCACGTGCCTGGAGTGTTTCTGGACAAACAACTTTTAGGGATATCCCTACCTGTAGAGTTACACGTAGTGCAGCGTCCCTCTTCATACATAATTATCTTTCTCTACCATATCCAGTTTGTACTTTGACATGACCCACCTTCCTTTCTTCCTGAATTCATAACCGAAGCCCAAAGAATAACTTAGTGTAACTTGAAATTCTGCTTCTAGTATTAAAAAAAGCAACTGAAAAACGGAGTCTCACTTGAGTGTATTAATGCTTGAGGGAACCTCCAGAAGGCCCTTGGAGCTGGACCTCAGTATCTGGTCTGGACGATGGGTGTGGAGACGCTCCTTTAGATATTCAGGGCCAATGTCATTTAGGGTTTTCAAGGTCAGCTTCAACAAATGAATGTGACAGCTGTCTGTTTGGTGGGAGTGAGAGGGGCACCACGATAGCTGGAGCCAGAGACATGATGGAGAAGAACCACCACTTGTAAGTAAGAAGGCAGAAGAGTGTGGTGTCATGAAGGCCGGTTGAGCTTGGTGGTGTAGTCCGCATTCACCCCCATGGAGCAGACCTCTCACTTATTTGCCCTGAGCTGCTGAAGAAGGACAGGATGCACCCCTTTTGTCTCCCTCTCTTATATAGCACCAGCACTCATAGACATCCAATGAATCAGAAGGTTAGGAGATTGAGAGCAAACAAAATATTGAATCATGCAGTACATAGTTACTTCCCCCAAGTGCCAGTGGCTGGTGACCAGTGCCTGGCAAGGCTCATTGCTTTCATGCCGTGCTTGTGAGCTTCTCAGTAATGTCTGATTGGCCACTGTGTTGCAGGACTAGATGGGAGTTTGGGCTAACCCAGCAGGGCTGTTCTTAGCAAAGTTCAAGCCAAACTCATGCCCAAAATGCAAGTGACTCATGTTGCAGTTTGAAGCCACATCTGCGATTTCATAGAATCATAGAATCATAAAGTTGGAAGAGACCATAAGGGCCATCGAGTCCAACCCCTGCCAAGCAGGAAACACCATCAGAGCACTCCTGACATATGGTTGTCAAGCCTCTGCTTAAAGACCTCCAAAGAAGGAGACTCTACCACACTCCTTGGCAGCAAATTCCACTGTCGAACAGCTCTTACTGTCAGGAAGTTCTTCCTAATGTTTAGGTGGAATCTTCTTTCTTGTAGTTTGGATCCATTGCTCCGTGTCTGCTTCTCTGGAGCAGCAGAAAACAACCTTTCTCCCTCCTCTATGTGACATCCTTTTATATATTTGAACATGGCTATCATATCACCCCTTAACCTCCTCTTCTCCAGGCTAAACATGCCCAGCTCCTTTAGCCGTTCCTCATAAGGCATCGTTTCCAGGCCTTTGACCATTTTGGTTGCCCTCCTCTGGACACATTCCAGTTTGTCAGTGTCCTTCTTGAACTGTGGTGCCCAGAACTGGACACAGTACTCCAGGTGAGGTCTGACCAGAGAAGAATACAGTGGCACTATTACTTCCCTTGATCTAGATGCTATACTCCCAGAATTGCATTGGCTTTTTTAGCTGCCACGTCACACTGTTGGCTCATGTCAAGTTTGTGGTCAACCAAGACTCCTAGATCCTTTTCACATGTACTGCTTTCAAGCCAGGTGTCACCCATCTTGTATTTGTGCCTCTCATTTTTTTGCCCAAGTGCAATACTTTACCTTTCTCCCTGTTAAAATTCATCTTGTTTGTTTTGGCCCAGTTCTCTAATCTGTCAAGGTCGTTTTGAAGTGTGATCCTGTCCTCTGGGGTGTTAGCCACCCCTCCCAGTTTGGTGTCATCTGCAAATTTGATCAGGATGCCCTTGAGTCCATCATCCAAGTCATTGATAAAGATGTTGAATAAGACCGGGCCCAAGACAGAACCCTGATTTGGCGTAAACATATTTTCTGTCAGCTCTGTCAGTGCCCCTTGAACCATGTAGTGATCCCAATAACTTTCTCCCCTTTCAATTATAAAAATGATAGTGATTTATTCTTCCCAAAGCTCAAGAGAGATCTCTGGCAGTTGCCCAAACATCAGAAGCCAAGGAAGCCTGAGGTTATACGTATCACACTGTGCTGGAGGGTGTTAACTTCTGATTATCTGGCTGTGTGGGAGAAAGGAGAAGTCAAAATAGAGGTGTAGGAGGCCAAGCCAGAATGACCTCCCTGCTGCGGCTTCTGCTGCTACCTCTGCTTCTAATGCACCATCAAGTCTTGACGCGCATCGTAAATTAATAATGCCGAGTTTTAAAGAATAAAAGCTTTACTAAGTTAAAATAAATTTCTTCATAAACAACATGCTTCCAAACAGTTTGACACTCAGATTACATACTAACTCTGCTCACATCTGAAGCAGAGAGACTGATTTTTTACAGAGAGCACAAAAGAGAAACTGGCTACTATGTCACATGTCAGAGTCACCCAACAGTTAGCAGTTAGGCCTGAATAACTTTAGTAGGCCCAAATGACTGTGCAGTCCCAGCACTTCCCAGCCTGCTTTGCTGCTTCTGCTCTCATGTGTCTTTGTCACATGACAAGTCTGTGAGAAGCTGCAAGCAAAGTGCTCCTTAAATTTGACGAGGGAAGAAAATGAAGCTCAGAGTTACTCATGGCCTGGAGACTTCCTCATTAGCGGAATCATATCTCCAAGAAGCTTTGCTGAGCAACTTCCATATAACCTTTCCCAGCCCCCAGTAACCAAGCTTAAAGAGTAAATAATAAAATACATCGTGGATATCATGCTTCTCCCTCACCTCCTCAATGGTTCCCTTTCATAGGGAAATAATTTCAGGGATAGGGAGACAGTGGCCCTTCAGGCGCTGCTGGACTCCGGCTCCTATCATCCTGATCACTTTTTGTGGAGGCCGAGGCTGAGGGGAGTTTCTAATCTCTTTTCCTTTTGCTCCTTACGGTCTTCAAATAAAAACATCTTGGAGGTCCTGGGCCACAGGGAGGTTAGACTGGCCTCAACCAGAGCCAGGGCTTTTTTGGCTGTGGCCCCGATCTGGTGGAACACCCTGTCACAAGAGACTAGGGCCCTTTGGGACTTTACATCTTTCCGCAGGGCCTGCAAGACAGAGCTGTTCCGCCTGGCCTTTGGCCAAGGCACAGTCTGACCCCCTCCTTTCGTAATCATCACAAAACTCTAGCCCAGTGGTTGCCATTAATCTGATTTGAATTGATTTTAAAATGAATCGATTTTAGAATGCTGTGCTACTTTTATTGTTATTATCCATGTCTTTTAAAATTATAAACTTGAAGTCATAGGCAGTTTTAGGAATGATTTGTAAGCTACAGTGGGAGTTTGGCCAAAGAGCAAGATCAGGACGGTATAAACGGAGGCCTTTGTACAGTTGTAGAATTGTAGAGTTGAATGTCCCCACCCTCTGAATCTTGAGTGGAACCACAGGTTGTTGTTGGAATTAAAAAATAATCTGGATCCCAGATAGTATTTTCCTGAGGGCTGCTGTAAACTCCACAAATATTATTATTATCATTATTTACTCAATTTATATACCACCCTATACCGGAGGTCTCAGGGCGGTTCACAGAAGAAAATCAAAGTATAACTATGAAACCACAAATTACATAATCAAAAAACAATGCCCCAATAACCCCACCCCCACTGCATAGGCAAGCAGTGTCCTCTCACTGCAAGTCCAGCTAACCATGTGTATGGTGAGGAAAAGCATCGTTGTCAAAGTTCCCTTAGCTCACTTGTGATGCGGAGGAGATAGATAATTGACAGTAGACCTCTTAAAGCTTCTGATTCCCGATTCTTCACTAATAGCAATTGTGGAGTTGCCCACTGTTGCTTGAAATCATTTCTGTACCAGGCTCTTCGATCTTGAGTTAGACTGCATATTACTCATAGCTGAATTTCCTAAGCCTCTTAAGACGTTGTCAACTGAATTGCTATAGTGCAAAATGAACTTAGCTAAATTAGAAGAAAAGGGACATTAAACTAGCTAAATGAAGGACATAGATAAAAGGTCATATGGAAATCTACAACGGTGTTACACACAGTTTGTGGAAGAGAAACATTTTCGGCACATGAGTTAAGATGAGGATCAAAAGTACAAGACTTGGAGAAAACTCAGTACATGGAAGGACATGGCAGAAACTTGATATTAGGTAGTCAGAAACGAGGTAAGCCAGACACCTCAGTTTGATTAATTATTATTATTATAAATCATAATAAAATTTATATAGCGCCCATTGGCCATAGATGTCACGGTGGTTCACAACATAAAAAGACAATGTAAAAAAGGCAAAATACATAAAAAAAGAACATAAACAAACCAATAATGCCTCCACCAGAAAACATTTAAAAGGGCATTGGATGTCAATCAGCGAAAGGCCTGGTTAAAAAGGAACGTTTCGCTTGGCACCTAAAGGTGTACAATGAAGGTACCAGCCAAACCTCCCCAGAAAGCATTCCACAAATTGTGTCCTTGAGGAATCTCTGGAATCTTTGTGAATCCTCTAAGCCCCTCAAAGAGGCATCCATGGAAGAATCCACTTGGAGAATCTATATATAAAATAGGAAGCAATTTTTTGGATACTGAAGCCCAATGGAGAAATTCACTGACACAGGAAATAGTGAAGAAGTACGCATGCACGGGACACGGGTGGCGCTGTGGGTTAAACCACAGAGCCTAGGACATGTATGATCAGAAGGTCGGCGGTTCGAATCCGTGTGACGGGGTGAGCTCCCGTTGCTCAGTCCCTGCTTCTGCCAACCTAGCAGTTTGAAAGCACGTCAAAGTGCAAGTAGATAAATAGGTACCGCTCCGGCGGGAAGGTAAATGGCATTTCCATGCACTGCTCTGGTTCGCCAGAAGCGGCTTAGTCATGCTGGCCACATGACCCGGAAGCTGTACGCCGGCTCCCTTGGCCAATAAAGCTAGATGAGCGCCACAACCCCAGAGTCGGCCCAATAACAAACTTAGTTGGTCTCTAAGGTGCTACTGGAAGGATTTTTTTAAAATTTTGTTTCAGCTGCTAACTGAGACACTTTTAAAAGACACATCACTTCCAGAATCAGAGGCTGCATATCTCTGAATGTCAGTTGCTGGGATCAACTCTATTGCCATCAGCTTGGGTGGATCCCAGAAATGTCTGATTGGCCACTGGGTGCAACAAGATACTGCATTGGATTAAACTTTGAACTGAACCAGCAGCAGGACTCTTGTAATGCTCTTGTCAGCAGCAAAGTTCATGCCAAACTCTCACTCACCACGTGACCCATGTCAAACTTTGTTGTTTTTTTTTAAGGAAATATTTATTAAAGTTTTACAAAAGCATAAATACAAAAGTACATGAAAGAAAAATAAAAATAAAAAAATAAAAATAAAAAATACAACATACAAAAGACAAAACCAAAAGTAAGAAAATTTAAAAACAAATCCGTTTTTCATAACTTTAAACTCCTTTGCTTGTTTCTTTGACCTCCTCACACCTCCCCTTTTTGTATTCCCATTTACATAATCAAGTCAGCAAATCCTTACCCTCTTTCATTTATCTTAACTCTATATCTTAACATTTTTTGACTCTATATTTTCATCCATTATCCATTCATTTTTGCATATTCTTATTAACTTTGTTGCTAATGCCACTTATTTTCAATCCAACATCATTTTAACATTCATTAATTTTACAGTATTTCTGCAGATAGTCTTTAAATTTCTTCCAATCTTCTTCCACCAACTCTTCTCCCAGGTCTCAGATTCTGCCAGTCATTTCCGCCAATTCCATATAGTCCATTACCTTCATCTGCCACTCTTCCAGGGTGGGTAGATCTTGTGTCTTCCAATACTTTGCAATAAGTATTCTTGCTGCTGTTGTTGCATACGTGAAGAAAATTCTATCCTTCTTTGGCACCAATTGGCCGACTATGCCCAGGAGAAAGGCCTCTGGTTTCTTCAGAAAGGTATATTTAAATACCTTTTTCATTTCATTATAGATAATCTCCCAGAAAGCCTTAATCTTTGGGCACGTCCACCAAAGGTGAAAGAATGTACCTTCATTTTCTTTACATTTCCAACATTTATTATCGGGCAGATGATATATTTTTGCAAGCTTGACTGGTGTCATGTACCACCTGTACAGTGGTGCCCCGCAAGACGAATGCCTCGCAAGACGGAAAAACCGCTAGACGAAAGGGTTTTCCGTTTTGAAGTTGCTTCGCAGGACGAATTCCCCTATGGGCTTGCTTCGCAAGACGAAAATATCTTGCGAGTCTTGAGATTTTTTTTTCGCTTCCCCCCCCCTTTATCTAATCTGCTAAGCCTTTAATAGCCTTTAATAGCCTTTTAGCAGCTAATCCCCTAAGCCTTTAAGCCTTTAATAGCTGCTAAACCGCTAATAGCGCTAATAGCGCTAATCCGTCAATGGGCTTGCTTCGCAAGACGAAAAAACCGCTAGACGAAGACTCTCGCGGAACGGATTAATTTCGTCTTGCGAGGCACCACTGTATATCATTTTCATAATATTCTCTCTTAAGGCATTACATGCCGTAAATTTCATACCGGTGGTCCACAACTGTTCCCAGTCAGCAAACATAATGTTATGTCCAACATCTTGTGCCCATTTAATCATAGCAGATTTAACCGTTTCATCCTGCGTGTTCCATTTTAACAGCAAGTTATACATTCTTGAAAGTATCTTAGTTTTGGGATCTAACAGTTCCGTTTCCAATTTGCAGATGACCTAGTATTGACGTTACAGGAGCCAGAATCTAGTACTAAAAGAGTTTTAGAATTAATTCAGGAATTTGGTCAGGTGGCAGGTTTTAAATTGAACAAGTTAAAAACTAAGGTTTTAGAGAAAACTTAACACCGATTGAAAGAGAGAGGTTTCATAATGAGACAGGATTGAATGTGGTAAAGAAAGTGAAATACTTGGGGATTAATATGACAGCCAAAAATGGGAACTTATTTAAAGATAATTACGAAAAATGTTGGACGGAAGTGAAAAAGGATTTAGAAATTTGGTCAAATTTGAAACTCTCGTTGCTGGGCCGTATTGCTGTGATAAAGATGAATGTATTGCCTAGAATGTTGTTTTTGTTTCAGACATTACAAATTGTAGATAAGATGGACTGTTTCAAGAAGTGGCAGAGAGATATTTCTAGATTTGTCTGGCAGGGCAAGAAGCCCAGAATAAAATTTAAGATATTAACTGACGCTAAGGAAAGAGGTGGATTTGCCCTGCCAGACCTTAAACTTTATTATGAATCAGCAGCTTTTGCTGGCTGAAAGAATGGCTACTTCTTGAAAACACAGACATTTTGGATTTAGAAGGTTTTAACAATGTATTTGGATGGCATGCATATTTATGGTATGATAAGGTCAAAGCACACAAAGCATTCAAAAATCATATTGTTAGGAAAGCATTGTTTAATGTCTGGATAAGATACAAAGACTTATTGGAAAATAAAACCCCAAGGTGGCTGTCATCAATGGAAGCAAAAGCTCTGAAAAGGCTCAATATGGAGGCCAAATGGCCGACATATTGGGAAATTTTGGAGCAAGAAGGAGATAAATTGAGACTGCAGAGTTTTGAAAAATTAAAAATAAAGTGAGAGATTGGCTCCACTACTATCAGATAATGGAGGCATATAACTTGGATAAGAAAATAGGCTTCCAAGTGGAAAAGTCAAAATTAGAAACAGAATTGTTAGAACCCAAAACTAAAAATTTGTCAAGAATGTATAACTTGCTGTTGAAATGGAATACTCAGGATGAAACGGTGAAATCTGCTATGATTAAATGGGCACAAGATGTTGGACATAACATTATGTTCGCTGACTGGGAACAGTTATGGACCACAGGTATGAAGTTTACGGCATGTAATGCCTTAAGAGAGAATATTATGAAAATGATATACAGGTGGTACATGACCCCAGTCAAGCTTGCAAAAATTTATCATTTGCCCGATAATAAATGTTGGAAATGTAAAGAAACTGAAGGTACATTCTTTCACCTTTGGTGGACGTGCCCACAGATTAAGGCTTTCTGGGAAATGATATACAATGAACTGAAAAAGGTATTTAAATATACCTTTCTGAAGAAACCAGAGGCCTTTCTCTTGGGCATTGTCGGCCAACTGGTGCCAAAGAAGGACAGAACCTTTTTCATGTATGCTACAACAGCAGCAAGAATACTTATCGCAAAGTATTGGAGACACAAGATCTACCCACTTTGGAAGAATGGCAGATGAAGGTGATTGACTACATGGAATTGGCGGAAATGACTGGCAGAATCCGAGACCAGGGAGAAGAGTCGGTGAAAGAAGATTGGAAGAAATTTAAGGACTATTTACAGAAATATTGTAAAATTAAGGAACTTTAGAAGGATGTTGGATAGAAATTAAGAGGTTTTTAGCTGTAATGCTTTAAGAGACATGAAAAAAAAAGGTTAACAATTGGGTAAAAGATTAATGGTAAGGATTTGCTGAACCAACAAACTGAATTGGAATACAAAGAAGGGAGGTATGAGGAGGTCTGGGGAAATAAGAGTAAGGAAGATAGGTTATGGAACATTATTGTGTTTTTAACTGTTTTATTTTGTATGTTTTTTCTTACTTTTACTTTTTGCTGTAATTTATACTTTTTGCTTTGTTTTCTGTATTTTTGTGAAACTTTAATAAATATCATTTAAAAAAACAAAACAGTTCCGTTTCCAGTTTTGATTTTTCCACCTGGAAGCCAATTTTTATCCAAATTATAGGCCTCCTTATTTGATAATAATGTAGCCAGTCTCGCACCTTATCTTTTAATTTCTCAAAACTCTGCAATTTCAATTTGTCTCCATCTTGTTCCAATATTTCCCAATATTTCGGCCATTTGGCCTCCATATTGAGCCTTTTCAGAGCTTTCGCTTCCATCGGTGACAACCACCTTGGGGTTTTAATTTCCAGTAAATCTTTGTATCTTATCCAGACATTAAACAATGCTTTCCTGACAACATGGTTTTTAAATGCTTTATGTGCTTTAACCTTGTCGTACCACAAGTATGCATGCCACCCAAAAACATTATTGAAACCTTCCAAGTCCAAAATGTCTGTGTTCTCAAGAAGCAGCCAATCTTTCAACCAGCAGAATGCTGCTGATTCATAGTAAAGTTTAAGGTCTGGCAGGGCAAATCCACCTCTTTCCTTTGCGTCAGTTAGTATTTTAAATTTTATTCTGGGTTCTTGCCCTGCCAGACAAATCTAGAAATATCTTTCTGCCACTTCTTGAAACAGTCCATCTTGTCCAAAATTTGCAATGACTGAAACAAAAATAACATTTTTGGCAATACATTCATCTTTATAGCTGCAATTCGACCCAACAAGGAAAGCTTCAAATTTGACCATATTTCCAAATCTTTTTTCACTTCTATCCAACATTTCTCATAGTTATCTTTAAATAAGTTTAAATTCTTGGCAGTCATATTAACCCCCAAATATTTTACTTTCTTAACTAATGTTAAACCTGTCTCCTTCTGAAACCTCTCTTTCTCAATTGGTGTAAAATTTTTCTCAAGTACTTTAGTTTTTGACTTGTTCAGCTTAAATCCTGCTACATGACCAAATTCTTGAATCAGTTCTAATACTCTTTTCGTACTAGATTCAGGCTCCTGTAACGTCAAAACTAGGTCATCTGCAAAAGCTTTCAATTTGTATTGTTTGGCTCCGACCTGAATACCTTTAATCAGACGGTCCCTTCTAATCATATTCAGCAAAACCTCCAGAACCAAAATAAAAAGCAATGGGGAAATTGGGCAGCCTTGTCGTGTCCCTTTCTCTATCTTAAATTCCTTTGTCATCACCTTATTGATTATTAACTTAGCCTTTTGTTCCGAGTAAATTGCACTTATACCATTTTCAAACCCTTGGCCCACCCCCATTCCCTGAAGATTTTTCTTCATAAAATTCCAAGAAATATTATCAAAGGCTTTTTCCGCATCTATAAAAATTAAAACTGCTTTGGTATTGATGTTCACTTGCAGCTTCTCCAAAATGTTAATTATATTCCTCATATTGTCAGACAGATGTCTACCTGGGAGAAAGCCAGCTTGGTCTTTATGTATCTCTTCAACTAATACCTTTTTAATCTGTTAGCCAAGATATCAGCAAAAATTTTGTAGTCCACATTAAGCAGGGATATGGGGCAGTAGTTCTTGAGTTGTGTCTTTTCAGACTCTGTTTTCGGTATAAGTGTAATATAAGCTTCCTTCCACGACTCTGGCGCCTTTTCCCCTCCAAAATTTCATTACAGACCTCCTTTAGTGGCTGAATTAACCAATCTTTCAAAGACCTATAGTATTTGGAGGTTAGACCATCCGGCCCTGGAGATTTACCCAACTGCATATTCTGAATGGCACCTTCTACCTCCTGTTCTGTAATTTTGTGGTTCAAAATTATCTTATTTTCTTGAGAGATTTTTTGTAATCCATTTGTTCGTAAAAGTTGGTCTAAATCAGTCTCTTTCTGTGGCCCTTGTGTATATAATTGTTTAAAGTATCTCTGGAAGCACTTTCTAATCTCCAATGGATTCTGTATGTTCTTTCCTTCCACCTCCAGATTTGTGATAGTGTTTAATTTTTGTCTTTTTTTCATCTGCCAAGCTAGCAGTTTCCCGCATTTATTAGCCGATTCAAATGTCTTTTGTCTCATCTGCTTAATTTTTCATATATTGTACTTGATATAGCTTTATTTCTCTCAGAATCTCTTGCGACTTTGGTTTCGCTCTTAATTTCTTCTCTCCTTCTTTTATTTTTTCCAAGATTTTATCTTTTTTCTCATTTTGAATTCTCTTCTTTATTGCGTTCTGTTGAATCAGAAACCCTCTCATGACCGCTTTGCTTGCGTCCCAGATTACTCTTTTTTCAACCGTAGTATTCAAATTTATCTCAAAATAGTCTCTCAAGATTTTTTGGGCCTTCTTGGTAACCTCTTGATCTCTAAATAAGGTGTCATTCATCCTCCATCTGAAGGAACCGATTGGTGTTAGTTTCATCTCCATCTTCACCGCATTATGGTCGGAGCAAGTCTTTGGGCAAATTTCCACTTTTCGAGTCTTAGGTGCCAGTCCTCTAGTTATCCATATTTGGTCAATTCTTGTCCATGTCATTTTGGCTTCAGAGAAGAATGTTCCCTCTCTTCCAAGGGGGTTCTTAGTTCTCCAGATGTCAATCAAGTCCATATTGTCAGTCAATTCAAAAAAAGTTTTTGGTAGTCTGCCATCTTTAGTTACAACCTGTCTCTGCGACTTGTCCATATTTGTAGATACCACCCCATTCATGTCTCCCATCATAATAATGTTGTAGTCCATATAGTCAAGCAATGTCTCATGCAATTTCTTTAAAAATTCAGATTTCCCCTCATTTGGTGCATAAACTCCTACAATCAGAATTTTTTCTCCTTGTGATTGAATCTCAATTGCCACATATCTTCCTTGTTCATCTTTAAAAACAAATTTCGGTGATAGGCTCTCTTTAGCATAAATAACAACTCCTCTCTTTTTAACCTTGTCCGATGAGATAAACTCTTGGCCCAGTCTTTTATTAATCAGTACTTTCCTATGTAGCCTTATCACATGTGTTTCTTGTAAACAAATTAAGTCCAATTGTTCCTTTTTTAATAAATGAAAGACTTTCTTCCTCTTCTCCGGGGAATTAAATCCATGAATGTTCCAACTTAATAATTGCAGAGACATGGTGTAGTTATTCTATTCTCCTCCAACTGCTCCCAAAAGTTCTTCTTGTTCTGATGGTGGTATCACTTTTTTTAGTTTGTCCAGTCCCAAAGGTGGTGGTACTATGTCTAGTACTCCTGATCTTAAAGCTCTTAGCTCTTCTAGTACTTCTTTTTGCAGGTCTTCTTCGTGGTCTCTCAAAAATTTTCCCTTGTCTTCCACTGATCTTGTTTTGAACTTTTTCCCTTTAAAGGTAAAAGATAGTCCCTGGGGGAATTCCAACCTAAAAACGATTCTGTTTCTTCTCAGTAGGGCCACCAGATCTCCGTAGTTGGTTCTGAGATCCAATAGATGTTTCGGAATATCCTTAAAAATCTCCACTCTCGAATCGTTGATCTCCAAAGTCTTCTGGAAGTGCGCACTCAGTATTTTGTCTCTCTCTTCTTTCGTTCGGAGGGTAACCAAACAGTCTCTCACCCTGTTTTTCCTCCCTCCTCTTCCAAGTCTGAACGCACTTACTATCCTAAAGTCTTGCTCCACCTCCAAATTCCAAAATTTTCCAAATTCCTGTGTAAGGTAGTCACTTAGGTTCTCTTTTTCAAGTTCCGGTACTGCCCTAATCCTCAGATTGGTCTGTTTCTCCCTCAGTTCAATCATAGACAGAAGTGACTGATGGTCCCCAATCTGCTTACGCATCGGTTTTATTTCTTCCTCTACAGCCACTGCTTTTTCTTTTGCTTCCTCAGCTATTTTTCGATTAGACGCAGATTCTTCCAGCAATTTTTCAATAGATTCTGTTTTAGAGTTCACCTTCTGTCCCAAATTATTAATGCTGGCAGTATTCCGGTCTATTTTAGTTGATTGTTCAGTAACTTGTTTGCTTAGGCCTTCCAATTTTTCATAGATTTTATTTAACACAGAAGTAAAATCCCCTTCTGAAGCCATTCCTTTTGACCCAGCTTGTGCAAAATCTTCCCCCTGTGTCACAGGAGGGCCGGGAACAGATGATCTACGTTGCTGGGAAACTGTGCTGGGCTGCTGCACTCTAGCCTTGCCCGATCTTGTTGTCCTATCAGTCATCACACTTTTGTCTATGAATCAAGGTCGATCCCATGGTCAAATCTTACCGTGGAAAATCCCCAGAGTCAAGAATGGAAAAATCCCCTAGCTGGATGTACAATTTCAATGTTCCTCTAGGGGGACACTGTAGCAGTCATTAAAATTTCAATGAAGAATCTTTTCCAGCTTTCCTAAGTCCCCTCAAGAAAGCAAGCAACAGTTTCAAATCCAGAGAAGACCTTCAACAAGTATCTCCTTTGCAGAGTTAACCATTAAAAAGTTACATTGTCTATAAATAGTGCGAATCTCAGTGCAACAATTCTAGTGGACCTGACAGTCCGTTCCCAGGAGTTAGATAATTGTCTCTATTTTTTTCCACAAGTGAAGAAGTCACTTTTCCCTCTCCCCCCCCTCTCCAGCAGCCTGGGGGGCTGGGGGGGGTAGTTCTTTTACTTTGATGTTCGGATTTGGAACTTTTAAAACACCGCTATCTAGGTCTTTAGCTTAAAGAGTCTTTGCTTTGAACTGTGTACAGAAAACGGAAAGGCGGACTTCCTGTTTACACCTTGCCGCTTCAGTGCCAAATTAATCCTTTGTTTCCTCCTTTAAGTCCCAATTCTTAAACTTCACCTACTCACGGGTAGTTGTTTAGCAGCCGAATTGTCACAGGAAAAAGGTCAGCGCTCTCCGGCAACAGCTGTGCGGCTTCACACAACGGAAAAAGCGATCGACTCTCAGCACCGCGCCAAACTCCCGTTGCGCTCCAGAACCCCTTACGGGGTCCTTTTGCTAGTCCTGAGGGCGCTGCAGGTGCCCGAGTCCCACAGTCACAGGCTTCTCCTGCCTGTGATTTTCACAAGGGTCTCCGCTTCGCCGTAGTGGACAGACCCGATTTCCGCGGAGCTTCTCCCTCCGAGCTAGAAGGAGACCGCCATTGCCGTTGGCGCCGCCTCCGGAAGCCAACCCATGTCAAACTTTGGAGCAGCAACTTTGTTTCCTTCCAAACATGTTTATCTCCAACTCTGCTCCTGCCCCTCAAGCCACACAGAAACTTCAGGTTGCTGCAAAGATGAACTTCCTTCCCCTTATAATTATCAACATCATAGTGATTTATTCTGCCTTGTTCCTGAGGGAAAAGTTGATGCACAGAAGATCACCTGTGTCAGAGACAGACTGAGTCAAGGCTGAGAGTAAGAGGCGTGGGATACATCTGTGTGAGGTTTAATGGCTCTGAAGCTATAGCTGACCACCACCCATATTGGATAAATAAGAGTTTTTTGGCTTGTTCTGATGTAGCTGGCTATGGGGGAGAGAGGAACACTCACAAGAGAGGTGTAGCAGTCAGTCAGAATGAGATCCCATATGCTGATGCTGCTCATTTTGTTTGAATCCTGCAGAAACCTGAAGGCAAAATGCCCCTTGAATCCAATCCGGGAAGGAATCAAAGCACAGAATTATTTCCAGACTGGCGACTTCCTCATTGGCGGGATAATAAGTCCAAATATGTTTGGTCTGCAGCTTCCATACATCTTTTCGCAGCCCCCATTAAGCAGGTTTAAACAAGAGTAAGTAATTATATGCAGAAGGACGTCACGTTTTTCTACTGCACCCCAAGGGCTCCTGGTTACTAGGGAAATAGTCTCCATTTTAGGGGTGAGGACTCTGTGGTCTTTTAGATGTTGCAGGACTGCAGCTCCCATCACCCCGATCACTGGCCATGCTGGCAGGGGCTGAAGGGAACTTGAGTTTCGCAGCAGCTAGTGGGTTGCATGTTCCCAGACGTGCTCTATTTTTACCTTCTGTGCTGCTGTGTTGCTTGCTGAAGAACACAAGTGTATAAATGAACCTGATCAGGCATCAAAATGATTCACTGAATGATCACACCTGCATTCATGAGATGAGTGGGACATTGGAGAAAATCCTACTTTGTGTTCTTGGTATGCAGGTGTATGGGAAATAGCATTTTTAAGCATGTGGTTGTTCTTTACAGATCACATTAAGAAGCCAGCACAATTATTGCAACCCCCTATAACACATGTATCTCTATGGAGAGGACTAATTAACCAGTGAGCCTATTATGTATGTACCTTAAGGTTACTTCCAATAACATATACTCTAAGTGTTGTGTTTGCTGTTCTTGTTAAGTTTATAGTGTTACTGTTGAAAACCAAAACAAAACATATTTAAACAAACAAAACAGAGGTCTTTTGTGCTGATATTTGGGAGGGCATTTGATTCCATCCTTTCCCCTGTCTGAAATAACCTCCCAGAAGATATCAGCAGAATTACCAGTAGTGTCTGCGATTGCCATTGCATTGAGATTGAACAGTTCCCACAGGGAGAAATATGAATGACAAGGAAACTATCCTCCTGGATGAAATGTTAGTTTAAGTAGACTGAAGAAAATATATCCTTCTGATTGTTTGTTTTGCTGAAAGACTGGTTGAAACTGACCTTTCTTAAATAACAGCCCAATCCTAATCATGCCTATTGAAAATAAGCCATAATAATCAAATAGAGCTTCTAAACAGACTTAGCTCTCCATTTCAGTTGGCTCTTTATGCAACTCCTTTGAAGCAGCCAATACTAGCCTTAGCAGCCATGTCCCCATATTTCTCACACATTCGGGGGAAAAAATGTTTTCTTCATTTTCCTTCTTTGAAGATGTGTGCTTCTCCTCTTGAGAAATCCTTATATTTTAATTCTTAAGTGGCAAATGGATTTTCATCTTGTAAGAAGGATATGTCTCTTCTCACCCTTCAAACAAACATACAGACTAGAGTCCCCATGTTGCAACAAGTGAAAATCCAGACCAAAAAGATTTATTGGCAAAGTTTCTGAGTTATTTTAAAGGAAATTCCAGTGATTTCCACCCACACACTGTTTCCAACTGCTATCTTCCTGCTATGTCTGTATGGCAGCCCTAATGCAGTCCATGATTTAGGGAATCAAATACTATTTATTTTCATTAAGTGGTGAACGGTTTGACACTTTTTATTTGATTGATTTCTTACAGATTGTCATTTAGGTTCTACTGGCACATCTTGTCCTTCTTGTTCACCATCCAAGAGATCAACCGGGATCCCAGGCTCTTACCCAACATCACATTGGGCTACAGCCTCTATGAGAACTATTACAATGCAAGGATCACTTCTGACGCCATGCTAGACCTGCTTGCAGGTGGGGAAAGCAATATTCCAAACTATCGCTGTGGAAAATGGAATAATATCTTGGCTGTTCTTGAAGGAGCCAATTCCATCATCTCCAAAGTGATTTCAACCATGTCAAGCATGTCCAAAATCCCACAGGTATGAAGGGAGGCACACAAAAGAGTTTCAACAGCAAAATAAATTCTCATTATCGTCAGCAGAGTCAAATGAAAGGCATCAAAGAGGGAGAAAATCCTGAACTATGTTAAGCTAGATAGCTCAGTTGGTTAGAGTGTGGTTCTGCCAACATCAAGGTTGCAGGCTTGATCCCCATATGGGACAGCTGCGTTGCAGGGGGGGAGACAACATGAACCTCAGGGTCGCTTCCAACTCTACAATTCTATGATTCTTCAACACAGAGAATTTGCTAGTTTTGAAACTGCCCAAAGTTTCAAAATCAGTCCTAGTCAGCACGACATTTGGTTTTTTTTTAAAAATGATATTTATTAAAATTTCAGGGGAAAAAGAATCACACAAAAACAAGAAGTAAAAATACAGGAAAAATACAGAATACAAAATACAAAATAAAAGAATAAAAGACACTTAAAAAGAAAAAAAGAAAAATAGATCAAAAATAGATCAATCTTTCCATAGCTTACATTCATATCCTTGTTTCCCTGACCTCCTCATACCTCCCTTTTTTGTATTCCAGTTCAATTAGTTAAGTCAGCAATTTCTTTCCCTCTTTGTTTTCTCATGATCCTTTAACTTAATATACTATAACTTTAAATTTTCATCTCTTATCAATCCTTTTTTACATACACCTTTATGGCATTACTGCTTAAACCACCTAGCTTCATTCCAACATCATTCTAACATTCATTAATTTTGCAGTATTTCTGTAAATAGTCTTTAAATTTCTTCCAATCTTCTTCCACCGACTCTTCTCCCTGGTCTCGGATTCTGCCAGTCATTTCCGCCAATTCCATGTAGTCCATAACCATCTTCTGCCATTCTTCCAGAGTGGGTAGGTCTTGTGTCTTCCAATACTTTGCAATAAATATTCTTGCTGCTGTTGTGGCTAATCCTGTACTTTGCTCTGAAAATGAAACACTATATTCTTTCTTCCCCACTTCAGATTAGTTATGGCTTTGTACCTGGGGTTGTTGATGAGAACACCAAAGTTCCTTTTGTCTACCGTACGGTCCCCAATGAAGAAGTTCAGTACTTGGGGATTCTAAAGATGCTCCAGCATTTCGGATGGACGTGGATCAGCCTCTTTGCTCCAGAGAATGAGAATGGAGAAAAGTTCTTGAGTGCCTTGACATCTCTGATGGCCAGCAATGGAATTTGTGTTGCCTTTTCAGTAACAATTCCAGAAAGGACTGAACCTGGGAGGTTCACACTAAGTGAATTAATTGCCCTACGGAGACAGACCAATGTATTCCTTTACTATGTAAACAGTCATACAGCACTGCGTATCCTCATGACACTAGAAGAAGTACTTTGGAAACAAGAACCTGGGTCAAAAGTATGGATCACAACAGCTTTTCAAGACATTGACATGAATTTGCTTTACGGTCCCAAGTACTTGAAGTATATCCATGGTTCATTCTCCTTTGTAATGAAGACCAAAATAAGGAGCAAACGTGACTGCTGTAAATCAGAGTCCCATCTTTTTAATCTGTTTCGGGAAAAAGCATTTAGTTGTTCATACTCAAAGCACGTCCTCGCTGTGAGAGATTGGACAAGATGCAGAGATGTGGAGAATCCGGAGGTGGCATCTGAAGAGGAGCTGCAGACTGTTCTGTCTCAAGACAGCCACAGAACATACTTCAGTGTCCAAATCATGGCACATGCTTTAAATGTTGCCTGTTCATCTAGATCAAAGCAGATGTTGATGGCGGGTGGAGGAGACCAGTTGGCATGTCAAAGGCTACAGCCATGGCAGGTATTTCCTTTCCCTTTCTAGAAATCAAAGTTCTTTCTACCAACTCTGCAATAATCATTCTCATTGATTTAGACACGAATGCAATATCAAGGTGGTCTACTGCAATAAAAAACCTAAGACCATATAATAAAAGTATAAGAAGCGAAAACAAGTTAAAAGCAGACGTCCCTCCACCTGGAGGGTGTCTGTTTAGTCTTGCCAGTAGGAGAAGTTGTGGCACAACAGGAATTTTGAGTTCCAAGGGAGCCGGGATGAGGCATCTAAAATGCTTTCTAAGTTCTGGTGTTTAGTCCTCTGTAGATTCCAACGAGGCCAGGTATGCCAGGACTTTGGAGCTCAAAGGAAGCAGGGATGAGATGTCCAAAATACTTTGAAATGCTGGTGTTTTCCCTGTCATTCCAGCTTCACCCTTTCTTAAGAGAAACCCGGTTGTTGAACACTTCCATGGGCGGACTGTATTTGGCTGAGAATGGGGAGCTGCCAATCATGTTTGATATTGAGAATTGGGTGGTGCTTCCCAATGAGTCTTGTGTTAGAGTGAAAATTGGGAGTATAGAGAGAGAGGCATCCACTGACTTCAAGCTCACCATTAACCCAGAAGCGATTGTGTGGCCCAAGTGGTTCAACCAGGTAAGAGCCCCTTTATTCCACATGATACACATGAAGATCTAGTAATCTGTCGAATTCCCAAGAGGAATTCAGGTATAATCTTTGGGAAGTTTGGCTGATGCTTTCATTATAATTAATTAAGTAAATTATTAAATGTGTATAATGCTCTTCAGGTGCAGATACACAGTATGAATGTATGTATGTATGTTTGTATGTATGTAATTTTTTCATATATTGTGGGAGCCTTTTTTGTGGAACCTGATTGAGCTGCACAATATGGTCCATGGTAAATCCAGCAACAGAAAAATTCCTGTGGTGCCCGCCTTCCCTGGATGCGCTAAGCACGTACTTATTCTGCTTAATGGTTAATCCAGCCCGGCCCTGCGAGATCTCATGAGAACATCGCAGAGCCCACGCAAGAGCATCCTGGAGCCCAGTGAGCAAACCAGAGAGCTTGGGAGTAAGGCCTGCTTGGCATGCCAGTTCCGGAAGGTCAGGGTGGTTGTGCAGGAGCCGTTCCAAGGGGCTCATTCGAGCGCAGTGGAATTTTGGTTCTTGAACTTAATCCATTCCAGAAGTCCGCTCAATTCCCAAAACTGTTTGAAAATCAAGGTACGGCTTCCGATTGGCTGCGGGAGCTTCCTGCACTCAACTGAAAGCCGTGTCAGACGTTTGGCTTCTGAAAAATGTTCACAAACCAAAACACTTGCCCCCGGGATTGCAGCGATCAGTAGCTGATTTGTTTGGGAGCCAAGCCATTCAGGAACCAAGCTACCACTGCATATACATTTTTGCATATACTACTCCTTCCCCAGAATGTAACCCTGCATAAGATGTGATCATACTCTATGTTTAAATACTGCTCTTCATCAGAGTGTTTTATTGCTGCTGTTCTGGGATGGCCTTTTCTTTAGTTTTCTTTCTGCATCTTTTGCCCTGTGCCTAGAGAACTTGCTGGGTTGTTTCCAAACTCTATGAATCAACTCCATAGACACAAATATTCCGGGCACACAACTATTTCCCCTGTATGTACCCTCTTTTTTCTTATTATTAGACTGTGCCTCAGTCCAGTTGTTCAAAGACCTATGTATTAATACTCTTTTCAGTACATTTCCGAGCACAATTCAAAGTGTTGGTGCTGACCTTTAAAGCCCTAAACCGCCTCAGCCCAATATATCTGAAGGAGCGTCTCCAGCCCCATCGTTCAGAGGTCCAGCTCCAAGGGCCTTCTGGCCGTTCCCTCCCTGCAAGAAGTGAGGTTATAGGGAACCAGGCAGAGGGCCTTCTCGGTAGTGGTGCCTGCCCCGTGGAACGCCCTCCCATCAGATGTCAAGGAAATAAACAACTTTTATAAGACATCTGAAGGCAGCCCTGTTTAGGGAAGTTCTTAATGATTGATATTTTAATGTATTTCTAATCTATTGTTGGAAGCTGCCCAGAGTGGCTGGGGAAACCCAGCCAGATGGGTGGGGTATAAATAAATTATTATTGCTATTGTTATTATTTAAAAAGCAAACACAGCAGGGAGGCTTCCGTTCTATATCAAGCATAGGAGCCAACTCCTAGGAGCTGTGGGGGCTTTGGCCCCCGCAATAAAATATTTGAGGGGGCTGGGGACCCATAAAGTTGATGGGCATCAATTATGTGTTGTGCGGCTTGCCTGGGCCCCCACAATATTTTATTCAAGTTGGCACCCCTGACATCAAGGGTGCTTTCTGTGGGACTGGAGACCCTGCTGGGTTCTCTCCAGACTCTCTGAGTGAGTTCCATATGCACAAATATTGCTGACACTTCCCCTTTAATGTGCAATTTTTTCTTCATGGCTAGACTGTTCCTCACGCCAGGTGTACCAAAAGGTGTCACCCAGGATATGCCAAGGTGGTTCAAGAAGACAAGCCGGTTTGCTGCTATGCTTGTGTTCCGTGTGCGGAAGGGACCATATCTACACAGGAAGGTGGGTGACGCCACAGGAAATGGAATTTGTTGGGAGAATATGAATAGGGCAACATATTGGCCAGAAACCTTCTGTGAAGATTCTAAAGACGTATTTGGATGCAGATCCTTTATTGATTTCTTCATTTTTAATCCCCTTCCTGGAATTTATTTGAAAGAAATGACACGCAGGAAGCAATCTCTGGGATGCAAATTGGGTTCAGCCTGCCCTGCCCATATGGCACAGCTTTGGCTATTTTGTACCAAGCCTTCTAGGACCAGAGAACCAGAACCACCGTCACAAAAAGAAATTAAAAATGTCATCAAAATAAACGAGAAATACTGAAAATAGCAAATATTTATTTAAAAGAGAGAAAGCATGATGCACAATAATCAAAAAAATTAGGTGAACATTCCATTCCATTGCATTGTAGAACAATTAAAGATTATGAGATTTCAGCAGGAAGTTATTGGATATCCCAGACAAGGAGTTTGAGAACAGCTGTAGCAGCTTGGAAGAGAGGAGTTCAAGGATATTAAAAATAAATAAATCATAAGTTGTGTGTCCTAGTTTTTCAGTTTGATCCTTTTGCATGTTTTGTGGTATTTTATTCATTGTGACTTGCTGTTTTTTATTAATTATAAATTAGGAATTCTTTATTGTACATGATAAGCATTAGCTGTTTCTTATTTGCTGATATTAAATTTTACTTTTTACTATTTCTGAGTGTTATGATGGAATATTATTGAATTTTGCATTATATGATATGTTGTTTATTTTAAAGTTATGCTTTTATGATGACTTTTTGTGTGTGTATTACGTCTGTGATCTTTGCTGTCTATTTTGTTGTTTCTTCAGTTTGTAACCTTCCTTCTGCATAGCAATGTACAAAGGCAGTATACAAATTAAACGCGAAATGAAATATGGAAATGAAGCGGGGTTACTGCCCAAAAACTATCGCATAAGGAAATGCACCAAAAAGCTTCCCTTTCTTACAATACATTCTCATTTTCTGATATCTCCCATATGAGTGCATTTCTCGACATGTAATAGAATATGTCTGTAAGCAAAGCCAAAGCCATTCCTTTTCTCCTCCCCAGATGCAGAGCGTTGCACCAAATGTCCAGAAGAACAATATCCAAACAAGGACCGAGATCACTGCATTCCGAGGATTATCTCCTTCTTATCATATAAACAATATTTGGGGATTCTCCTGACTTCTTTGGCTCTCTTCCTGTCCTTAACCACAGGCTTTGTTGTAGGGATCTTCATTAAATACAAGGAAACTCCCATAGTCAAAGCCAACAACAGGGACCTCTCCTTCATCCTCCTTGTCTCCCTCCTGCTGTCCTTCTTGTCCTCCTTCCTCTTCATTGGCCGTCCCAGGAAAGTCACCTGCCTCCTTCGACAAACGGCCTTCAGCACCATCTTCTCAGTTGCTGTATCCTCTTTGCTGTCCAAAACCATCATGGTGGTGCTGGCCTTCCTGGCCACAAAGCCAGGGAACAGGGTGAGGAGATGGTTAGGGAAAAGTCTGGCCAACTCCATTGTCCTTTCCTGTTCCAGTGTCCAAATGGTTATTTGCATCATTTGGCTGTGTATCTCTCCCCCATTCCCAGACTCTGACAAGCATTCCCAGGCTGGAGAGATCACCCTGCAATGCAATGAAGGGTCTGTTGCCATGTTTTATGCTGCCCTCGGTTATATGGGCTTCCTGGCTGCCATCTGCTTCACGGTGGCTTTCCTGGCCAGGAAGCTGCCTGGGGCCTTCAATGAAGCCAAGCTGATCACTTTCAGCATGCTGGTCTTCTGCAGCGTTTGGGTCTCCTTTGTGCCCACCTACCTGAGCACAAAGGGGAAATACATGGTAGCCGTGCAGATCTTCTCTATCTTGGCTTCTAGTGCTGGACTTCTGGGCTGCATCTTCATTCCCAAATGCTACATTCTTGTGCTGAGGCCTGATCTGAACACAAAGGAACACCTGGCCACAAAAACTAAAGTTGTTGCCTGATTCTTAACATATTTATAACCGTTTCCCACCACAGTAGTGATGAAACACACAGAGTTGCCTTGGGAATGAATGCATCTCTTTAGATAAAGTTTGCTCCTCATTTTTCATTCTCTTGAATGATGAAAGGTAATCATTGTATCACATGCCTTGAGAGTGTCTGGACTTACAACTTTTAGGGATAACCCTACCTGTAGAGTCTCCTGGAGTGCAGCCTCCTCTTCAAACATAATTATCGTTCTCTACCATATCCATCGTTTGTACTTTGACATGACCCACCTTCCTTTCTTCCTGAATTCATAACCGAAGCCTAAAAATAACTTAGTGTAACTTGAAATTCTGCTTCTAGTATTAAAATCAGCAACTGAAAAACGGAATCTCACTTGAGTGTATTAATGCTTGAGGGAACCTCCAGAAGGCCCTTGGAGCTGGACCTCAGTATCTGGTCTGGACGATGGGTGTGGAGACGCTCCTTTAGATATACAGGGCCAATGTCATTTAGGGTTTTCAAGGTCGGAATCAACAAATGATTGTGGCAGCTGTCTGTTTGGTGGGAGTGAGTGGGGCACCATGATAGCTGGAGCCAGAGACAATGATGGAGAAGAACCACCACTTGTAAGTAAGAAGGCAGGTGAGTGGTGGTGGCATGAAGGCAGGTTGAGATTGGTGGGGTAGTCCCCACTCACCCCCATGGACCAGACGTCTCACTTATTTGCACTGATCTTCTGGAGAAGGGCGGGATGCATCCTTTTTGTCTCCCTCTCTTATATAGCACCAGCACTCATAGACATCCAATGAATCTGAAGGTTGGGAGATTGAGAGCAAACAAAACATTTATTCATGCAGCACATAGTTACTTCCCCCCAATGCCCAAAAGCATCGTTGTTAAAGTTAGCTCACTTGTGATGCGGAGGAGATAGATAATTGACAGTAGACCTCTTAAAGATTCTGATTCCCGATTCTTCACTAATAGCAATTGTGGAGTTGCCCATTGTTGCTTGAAATCATTCCTGTACCAGGCTCTTTTGTCTTGAGTTAGACAGCATATTACCCATAGCTGAATTTCCTAAGCTGCTTAAGACGTTGTCAACTGAATTGTTATAGTGCAAAATGAACTTGGCAAAAGTAGAAGAAAAGGGACATTAAACTAGCTACATGAAGGACATAGATAAGAGGTCATATGGAAATCTACAAGGTTGTTATACATAGTTTTTGGAAGAGAAATATTTTTGGTACATGAGTTTTGATGAGGATCAAAAGTACAAGTCTAGGAAAAAATAAAGGATGGAGAAAAGAGACTGAGGATGAAACCGAATTCACAGGAGATCTTAAAAGAGATAAAGTTATATCAAGTACAATATATGAAACTGACAAATCAGGAAATAGAATGGAAGATTAAACAGATGAGACAAAAGACATTTGAATCAGCGAATAAGTGTGGGAAACTGCTGGCATGGCAAATGAAAAAAAGACAAAAACTTAATACTATTACGAACTTGGTAGTAGAGGGAAAGAACCCTGCGGAGATTAGAAAGTGTTTTCAGAAATACTTTAAACAGTTATACACGCAGGAGACTCAGAAAGAAATAGACATTGATCGGTTTTTGAGAACAAATGGATTACAAAAAATCTCAAGAGAGTAAATCAATGCTAAACTGTATAATAACTGACCAAGAGGTGGAAGGAGCCATTCAGGATATGAAACTGGGCAAATCTCCAGGGCCAGATGGTTTGACTGCAAAGTACTATAAATCTTTGAAAGAATGGTTAATGCAGCCTTTGAAAGAAGTTTGCAATGAAATATTAGGGGGGGGGGGAAAGGCACCCGAGTCGTGGAAAGAAGCTTATATTACACTTATACCGAAAACAGAAGCGGAAAAGACACAGCTTAAGAACTACCGTCCCATATCTCTACTTAATGTGGATTACAAAATTTTTGTGGAAATTATGGCTAAGAGATTAAAAAAGGTATTGGTGGAAGAAATTCATAAGGACCAAGCGGGCTTTCTCCCGGGAGGCATTTGTCAGATAATACGAGGAATATAATTAACATTTTAGAAAAATTACAAGTTAATATTAACACTAAAGCAGTTTTAATATTTGTGGATGCGGAGAAAGCCTTTGATAATATTTCTTGGAGTTTTATGAAGAAAAATTTACAGGGAATGGGGTAGGCCAAGGTTTTGAAAACGGTATAGGTGCAATTTACTCAGAACAAAAACCTAAGTTGGATTGTAAACAACGTGGTTACAGAAGAGTTTAAGATTGAGAAAGGAACAAGACAGGGTTGCCCAATCTCCCCATTGCTTTTTATATCGGTCCTGGAGGTTCTGCTTAACATGATCAGGAAAGACCAATTGGTTAAAGGTATACAACTCGGAGCTAAACAGTATAAATTGAAAGCCTTTGCTGATGATTTGGTTTTGACATTACAGGAGCCAGAATCCAGTACCAAAAGAGTATTGCAATTAATTCAAGAATTTGGTCAAGTAGCAGGATTTAAGTTGAATAAGGTGAAAACCAAGGTGTTAGAGAAAAATCTTACAGAGATTGAGAAAGAGAGGTTTCAGAAGGAGACAGGATTAATATTGGTTAAGAAAGTGAAATATCTCGGGGTTCATATGACTGCTAAAAATGTGAATTTATTTAAAGATAATTATGAAAAATGCTGGATGGAAGTGAAAAAGGATTTGGAAATATGGTCAAAATTGAAGTTATCATTGTTGGGCCGAATTGCTGTGATAAAGATGAATGTATTACCTAGGATGTTGTTTTTGTTTCAAACATTGCAGATTTTGGACAAGATGGACTGTTTCAAGAAATGGCAGAGAGATATTTCGAGATTTGTCTGGCAGGGCAAGAAGCCCAGAATAAAATTTAAGATTTTAACTGATGCTAAAGAAAGAGGTGGATTTGCCCTGCCAGATCTTAAACTTTATTATGAATCAGCCGCATTTTGCTGGCTGAAAGATTGGCTGCTTCTTGAAAACACGGACATTTTGGATTTAGAAGGTTTTAACAATGTCTTTGGATGGCATGCATATCTATGGTATGACAAGGTTAAAGCACATAAGGCCTTTAAGAACCATATTGTCAGGAAAGCATTGTTTAATGTCTGGGTGAGATATAAGGATTTGCTAGAAAGTAAAACACCAAGGTGGCTGTCACCAATGGAGGCTAAGGCTCTGAAAAAAATCAATATGGAGACAAATTGGCCAAAATATTGTGAAATTTTAGAACAAGATGGAGATAGATTAAAGCTGCAGAGCTTTGACAAATTAAAAACTAAAGTTCGAGACTGGCTTCATTATTATCAAATAAGGGAGGCTTATAATTTAGATAAGAAGATTGGCTTCCAGGAGGAAAAATCAAAATTGGAAACAGAATTGTTAGATCCTAAAACTAAGAACTTATCAAGAATGTATAACTTGCTGTTGAAATGGAATACACAGGATGAAACGGTTAAATCTGTTATGATTAAATGGGCACAAGACTTTGGACATAACATTATGTTTGCTGACTGGGAACAGTTATGGACCACAGGTATGAAATTTACGGCTTGTAATGCCTTAAGAGAAAATATAATGAAAATGATTTACAGGTGGTACTTAACCCCAGTCAAGCTAGCAAAAATCTATCATTTGCCAGATAGTAAATGTTGGAAATGTAAAGAGGTTGAGGGCACATTCTTTCACCTTTGGTGGACATGCCCAAGGATTAAGGCTTTGTGGGAAATGATATATAATGAATTGAAAAAGGTATTTAAATATACCTTTCTGAAGAAACCAGAGGCCTTTCTTCTGGGCATGGTCGGCCAATTGGTGCGAAGGGAGGATAGAACTTTTTTTATGTATGCTACAACAGCAGCAAGAATACTCATCGGAAAGTACTGGAAGACACAAGAATTGCCCACCCGAGAAGAATGGCAGATGAAAGTGATGGACTACATGGAACTGGCTGAGATGACCGGCAGAATTCGAGACCAGGGAGAAGGGTCGATGGAAGAAGATTGGAAAAATTCAAAATATACCTTCAAAAATACTGCAATATAAAAGACTGTTAGAAAGAGGTTGGAAAAAGAAAATTAGGTCGTTTTGGTAGATATGATATAAAGGATTAAGCAAAAATGAGTTGATGAAATTGATGAAACAGAGGAGGTTTAATTACATTATTTTAATTTAAAATACGTAAATGAAAATAAGGTTAGAAGGATTTGCTGGAAATACGATCTGAACTAGAATACAAAATTGGGAGGTGAGAGGAGGTCATGGAAATAAGTAAAGGGAAAAGGCTATGTAAAGGTTTAATCTGTTTTTGTTTTATTTTAACTTAATGCATTTTTATATTTTTTGTTAAGTCTTCTTTTTTATTCTATTTTATTGTTCACTTTTATCTTTTTATTTTTCGCTTTGTTATGGTTAAAGTTTTCTTTGTATTTTGTATGGTTTTTCTTTCTCTATTTTGTAACTTTAAACTTGGAATAAATATCATTTAAAAAAAAAAAAAAGTACAAGTCTAGGAGAAAACTTAGTACATGGAAGGACATGACTGGATATTAGGTAGTCAGAAACGAGCTAACCCAGACACCTGAGTTTGATTTTATTCTTGTTATCTTATTTATTAAATTTCTATAGCGCCCATCGGCCATAGATGTCAGGGTGGTTCACAACATAAAAATACAATATAAAAAAAGATAAAATACATAATAAAAAAGAACATAAACTAACCAATAATCCCTCCACCCAGAAGACATTTCAAAGGGCATTGGATGTCAATGAGCCAAAGGCCTGGTTAAAAAGGAACGTTTTCACTTGGCACCTGAAGGTGTACAATGAAGGTACCAGCTGAACCTCCCTGGAGAGCAGGGTCTCCAGTCCCACAAGCAAGCACCCTTGATGTCAGGGGTGCCAACTTGAATAAAATATTGTGGGGACCCAAGTAAGCCATGCCCCATATAAATTATCACATGATGCAGTGCGCACAAACCATTTTGATGGGAATACCCATCAACTTTGGAGGGTCCAGCCCTACTGGAAGGAATTTTTTTATTTTGTTTCAGCTGCTAACTGAGACACTTTTAAAAGGCGATCACGTGACTGCCAGGATCAGAGGCTGCATATTTCTGTATGCCAGTTGCTGAGGTCAACTCCACGAAAGAGCTGTTGCCATCAACGTGGGTTGGCCACTGGGTGCAACAGGATACTGGATTAGATTAAGCTTTGAACAGAACCAGCAGCAGGACTTTTCTAATGTCCTTGTCAGCAGCAAAGTTCGTGCCAAACTCACACACCACGTGACCCATGTCAAACTTTGGGGCACCGACTTTGATTCCTCGCAACCATGTTTATCTCCAACTCTGCTCCTGCCCCTCAAGCCACACAGAGACTTCAGGTTGTTGCACAGATGAACTTCCTTCCCCTAATAATTATCAAAATCATCATGATTTAATCTGCCTTGTTCCTGAGGGAGAAGTTGATTCACAGAAGATCACCTGTATCAGAGACAGACTGAGTCATGATTGAGAGTAAGGGGGGTGGGATACATCTGTGTGAGGTTTAATGGCTCTGAAGCTATAGCTGACCACCACCCATATTGGATAAATAAGAATTTTTTGGCTTCTTCTGATGTAGCTGGCTATGGGGGAGAGAGGAACACTCACAAGAGAGGTGTAGCAGTCAGTCAGAATGAGATCCCAGAAGCTGATGCTGCTCATTTTGCTTGAATCCTGCAGAAACCTGAAGGCAAAATGCCCCTTGAATCCAATCTGGGAAGGAATCAAAGCACAGAATTATTTCCAGACTGGCGACTTCCTCATTGGCGGGATAATAAGTCCAAATATGTTTGGTCTGCAGCTTCCATACATCTTTTCGCAGCCCCCATTAAGCAGGTTTAAACAAGAGTAAGTAATTATATGCAGAAGGACGTCACGTTTTTCTACTGCACCCCAATGGCTTCTGGTTACTAGGGAAATAGTCTCCATTTTAGGGGTGAGGACTCTGTGGTCTTTTAGATGTTGCAGGACTGCAGCTCCCATCACCCCTGATCACTGGCCATGCTGGCAGGGGCTGAAGGGAACTTGAGTTTCGCAGCAGCTAGTGGGTTGCATGTTCCCAGACGTGCTCTATTTTTACCTTCTGTGCTGCTGTGTTGCTTGCTGAAGAACACAAGTGTATAAATGAACCTGATCAGGCATCAAAATAATTCACTGAATGATCACACCTGCATTCATGAGATGAGTGGGACATTGGAGAAAATCCTACTTTGTGTTCTTGGTATGCAGGTGTATGGGAAATAGCATTTTTAAGCATGTGGTTGTTCTTTACAGATCACATTAAGAAGCCAGCACAGTTATTGCAACCCCCTATAACACATGTATCTCTATGGAGAGGACTAATTAACCAGTGAGCCTATTATGTATGTACCTTAAGGTTACTTCCAATAACATATACTCTAAGTGTTGTGTTTGCTGTTCTTGTTAAGTTTATAGTGTTACTGTTGAAAACCAAAACAAAACATATTTAAACAAACAAAACAGAGGTCTTTTGTGCTGATATTTGGGAGGGCATTTGATTCCATCCTTTCCCCTGCCTGAAATAACCTCCCAGAAGATATCAGCAGAATTAGTGTCTGCGACTGCCATTGCAATGTGATTGAACAGTTCCCACAGGGAGAAATATGGATGACAAGGAAACTATCCTCCTGGATGAAATGTTAGTTTAAGTAGACTGAAGAAAATATATCCTTCTGATTGTTTGTTTTGCTGAAAGACTGGTTGAAACTGACCTTTCTTAAATAACAGCCCAATCCTAATCATGCCTATTGAAAATAAGCCATAATAATCAAATAGAGCTTCTAAACAGACTTAGCTCTCCATTGCAGTTGGCTCTTTATGCAACTCCTTTGAAGCAGCCAATACTAGCCTTAGCAGCCATGTCCCCATATTTCTCACACATACGGGGGGGGAAAATGTTTTCTTCATTTTCCTTCTTTGAAGATGTGTGCTTCTCCTCTTGAGAAATCCTTATATTTTAATTCTTAAGTGGCAAATGGATTTTCATCTTGTAAGAAGGATATGTCTCTTCTCACCCTTCAAACAAACATACAGACTAGAGTCCCCATGTTGCAACAAGTGAAAATCCAGACCAAAAAGATTTATTGGCAAAGTTTCTGAGTTATTTTAAAGGAAATTCCAGTGATTTCCACCCACACACTGTTTCCAACTGCTGTCTTCCTGCTATGCCTGTATGGCAGCCCTAATGCAGACCATGATTTAGGGAATCAAATACTATTTATTTTCAACAAGTGGTGAATGGTTTGACACATTTTATTTGATTGATTTCTTACAGATTGTCATTTAGGTTCTACTGGCATATCTTGTCGTTCTTGTTCACCATCCAAGAGATCAACCGGGATCCCAGGCTCTTACCCAACATCACTCTGGGCTACAGCCTCTATGAGAACTATTACAATGCAAGGATCACTTCTGATGCCATGCTAGACCTGCTTGCAGGTGGGGAAAGCAATATTCCAAACTATCGCTGTGGAAAATGGAGTAATATCTTGGCTGTTCTTGAAGGAGCCAATTCCATCATCTCCAAAGTGATTTCAACCATGTCAAGCATGTACAAAATCCCACAGGTATGAAGGGAGGCACACAAAAGAGGTTCAACAGCAAAATAAATTCTCATTATCGTCAGCAGAGTCAAAAAGAGGCATCAAAGAGGGAGAAAATCCTGAGCTATGTTAAGCTAGATAGCTCAGTTGGTTAGAGTGTGGTTCTGCCAACGTCAAGGTTGCAGGACAAGATGAACCTCAGGGTCACTTCCAACTCTACAATTCTATGATTCTTCAACACAGAGATTTTGCTAGTTTTGCAGCTGCCCAAAGTTTCAAAGTAAAACTATCAGCCCCAGTCAGCAAAATAAATAAAACTAGCAAAATATTTGTTAGGTATTAAATATTTCAGGCTAATCCTGTACTTTGCTCAGAAAATGAAACATTGTACTTTTCTTCCGCACTCCAGATTAGTTATGGCTTTGTATCTGGGGTTGTTGATGAGAACACCAAAGTCCCTTTTGTCTACCGTACGGTCCCCAATGAAGAAGTTGAGTACTTGGGGATTGTAAAGATGCTCCAGCATTTCGGATGGACGTGGATCGGCCTCTTTGCTCCAGAGAATGAGAATGGAGAAAAGTTCTTGAGTGCCTTGACATCTCTGATGGCCAGCAATGGAATTTGTGTTGCCTTTTCAGTAACAATACCAGAAAGGACTGAACCTGGGAGGTTCACACAAAGCGAATTAATTGCCCTACGGAGACAGACCAATGTATTCCTTTACTATGTAAACAGTCATACAGCACTGCGTATCCTCATGACACTAGAAGAAGTACTTTGGAAACAAGAACTTGGGTCAAAAGTATGGCTCACAACAGCTTTTCAAGACATTGACATGAATTTGCTTTACGGTCCCAAGTACTTGAAGTATATCCATGGTTCATTCTCCTTTGTAATGAAGACCAAAATAAGGAGCAAACGTGACTGCTGTAAATCAGAGTCCCATCTTTTTAATCTGTTTCAGGAAAAAGCATTTAGTTGTTCATACTCAAAGCACGTCCTCGCTGTGAGAGATTGGACAAGATGCAGAGATGTGGAGAATCCGGAGGTGCCATCTGAAGAGGAGCTGCAGACTGTTCTGTCTCAAGACAGCCACAGAACATACTTCAGTGTCCAAATCATGGCACATGCTTTAAATGTAGCTTGTTCATCTAGATCAAAGCAGATGTTGATGGCGGGTGGAGGAGACCAGTTGGCATGTCAAAGGCTACAGCCATGGCAGGTATTTCCTTTCCCTTTCTAGAAATCAAAGTTCTTTCTACCAATTCTACAATAATCATTCTCATTGATTTAGACACGAATGCAATATCAAGGTGGTCTACTGCAATAAAAAACATAAGACCATATAATAAAACCAATAGAAGCCAAAACCAGTTAAAAGCAGACGTCCCTCCACCTGGAGGGTGTCTGTTTAGTCTTGCCAGTAGGAGAAGTTGTGGCACAACAGGAGTTTTGAGTTCCAAGGAAGCAGGGATGAGGCATCTGAAATGCTTTCTAAGTTCGGGTGTTCAGTCCTCTGTAATTTCCAACGAGGCCAGGTATGCCAGGACTTAGGAGTTCAAAGGGAGCAGGGATGAGGCATCTAAAATGCTTTCTAAGTTTGGGTGTTTAGTCCTCTGTAGATTCCAACGAGGCCAGGTATGCCAGGACTTGGGAGCTCAAAGGGAGAAGGGATGAGATGTCCAAAATGCTTTGAAATGCTGGTGTTTCCCCTGTCATTCCAGCTTCACCCTTTCATAAGAGAAACCCGGTGGTTGAACACTTCCATGGGCGGACTGTATTTGGGTGAGAATGGGGAGCTGCCAATCATGTTTGATATTGAGAATTGGGTGGTGCTTCCCAATGAGTCTTGTGTTAGAGTGAAAATTGGGAGTATAGAGAGAGAGGCATCCACTGACTTCAAGCTTGCCATTAACCCAGAAGCTATTGTGTGGCCCAAGTGGTTCAACCAGGTAAGAGCCTCTTTATTCCACATGATACCCATTAAGATCTAGTTATCTGTCAAATTCCCAAGAGGAATTCAGGTATAATCTTTTGGAAGTTTGGCTGATGCTTTCATTATAATTAATTAAGTAAATTATTAAATGTGTATAATGCTCTTCAGGTGCAGATACACACACACATGTAAGTATGAATGTATGTATGTATGGTTGTATGTATGTAATTTTTTCATATATTGTGGGAGCCTTTTTTGTGGAACCTGATTGAGTTGCACAATATGGTCCATGGTAAATCCAGGAACAGAAAAATTCCGTGGTGCCCGCCTTCCCTGGATGCCCTAAGCACGTACTTATTTTGCTTAATGGTTAATCCAGCCTGGCCCTGTGAGATCTCATGAGAACATCGCAGAGCCCACGCAAGAGCATCCTGGAGCCCAGTGAGCAAACCAGAGAGCTTGGGAGTAAGGCCTGCTTGCCATGCCAGTTCCGGAAGGTCAGGGTGGTTGTGCAGGAGCCGTTCCAAGGGGCTCATTCGAGCACAGTCGAATTTTGGTTATGGAACTTAATCCATTCCGGAAGTCCGCTCAACTCCCCAAACTGTTCGAAAACTAAGGAATGGCTTCTAATTGGCTGCGGCAGCTTCCAGGTTTGCAGCGTTCGGGAGCTGATATGTTTGGGAGCCAAGCCATTCAGGAACCAAGGTACCACTGCATATACATTTTGGCATATACTACTCCTTCCCCGGAATGTAACCCCTGCATAAGATGTGATCATACTCTATGTTTAAATACTGCTCTTCATCAGAGTGTTTTATTGCTGCTGTTCTGGGATGGCCTTTTTCTTTAGTTTTCTTTCAGCATCTTTTGCCCTGTGCCTAGAGAACTTGTTGGGTTGTTTCCAAACTCTATGAATCAACTCCATAGACACAAATATTCCTGGAACACAACTATTTCCCCTGTATGTACCCTCTTTTTTATTATTATTAGACTGTGCCTCAGTCCAGTTGTTCAAAGACCTATGTATTAATACTCTTTTCAGTACATTTCCGAGCACAATTCAAAGTGTTGGTCCTGACCTTTAAAGCCCTAAACCGCCTCAGCCCAATATATCTGAAGGAGCGTCTCCAGCCCCATCGTTCAGCTCAGACACTGAGGTCCAGCTCCGAGGGCCTTCTGGCCGTTCCCTCCCTGCAAGAAGTGAGGTTACAGGGAACCAGGCAGAGGGCCTTCTCAGTAGTGGTGCCTGCCCCGTGGAACGCCCTCCCATCAGATGTCAAGTAAATAAACAACTACCTGACTTTTATAAGACATCTGAAGGCAGCCCTGTTTAGGGAAGTTCTTAATGATTGATATTTTAATGTATTTCTAATCTATTGTTGGAAGCTGCCCAGAGTGGCTGGGGAAACCCAGCCAGATGGGTGGGGTATAAATAAATTATTATTGCTATTGTTATTATTTAAAAAGCAAACACAGCAGGGAGGCTTCCGTTCTACATCAAGCATATAGCCAACTCCTAGGAGCTGTGGGGACTTTGGCCCCCGCAATAAAATATTTGAGGGGGCTGGGGACCCATAAAGTTGATGGGCATCAATTATGTGTTGTGTGGCTTATCTGGGCCCCCACAATATTTTATTCAAGTTGGCACCCCTGACATCAAGGGTGCTTTCTTGTGGGACTGGAGACCCTGCTGGGTTCTCTCCAGACTCTCTGAGTTCCATATGCACAAATATTGCCCACACTTCCCCTTTAATGTGCATCTTTTCTTTATGGCTAGACTGTTCCTCACGCCAGGTGTACCAAAAGGTGTCGCCCAGGATATGCCAAGGTGGTTCAAGAAGACAAGCCAGTTTGCTGCTATGCTTGTGTTCCGTGTGCGGAAGGGACCATATCTACACAGGAAGGTGGGTGACGCCACAGGAGATGGAATTTGTTGGGAGAATATGAATAGGGCAACATATTAGTCAGACACATTCTGTGAAGATTCTAAAGACATATTTGGATGCAGATCCTTTCTTGATTTTTAATCCCCTCCCGGGAAGTAATTTGAAAGTAATGACTGCAGGAAGCAATCTCTGGGATGCAAATTGGGTTCAGCCTGCCCTGCCCATAAGGCACAGCTTTGGCTATTTTATACCAAGCCTTCTAGGATCAGAGAACCAGAACCACCGTCACAAAAGGAAATTAAAAATGTCTTCAAAATAAACGAGAAATAGTGAAAATAGCAAATATTTATTTAAAAGAGAGAAAGCATGATGCACAATAATCAAAAAAATTAGGTGAACATTCCATTCCATTGCATTGTAGAACAATAAAAAATTATGGAATTTCAGCAGGAAGTTATTGGATATCCCAGACAAGGAGTTTGAGAACAGCTGTAGCAGCTTGGAAGAGAGGAGTTCAAGGATATTAAAAATAAATAAATCATAAGTTGTGTGTCCTTGTTTCTCAGTTTGATCCTTTACATGGTTTGCATGTTTTGTGGTATTTTGTTCATTGTGACTTGCTGTTTTTATTGATTATTGATTGGTAATTCTTTATTGTACATGATAAGTGTAAGCTGTTTAGCATTTGCTGATATTAGATTTTACTGTTTACTATTCCTGAATATTATTATTGAATATTATTGAATTTTGCTTAATTTGATATGTTGTTTATTTTAAAGTTATGCTTTTATGAGGACTTTTTGTGTGTGTATTACGTCTGTGATCTTTGCTGTCTATTTTGTTGTTTCTTCAGCTTGTAACCTTCCTTCTGCATAGCAATGTACAAAGGCAGTATACAAATTAAAAGCGAAATGAAATATGGAAATGAAGTAGTGTTACTGCCCGAAAACTATTGCATAAGGAAATGCACCGAAGAAGCTTTCCTTTCTTACAATACATTCTCGTTTTCTGATATCTCCCATATGAGTGCATTTCTCGACATGTAATAGAATATGTCTGTAAGCAAAGCCAAAGCCATTCCTTTTCTCCTCCTCAGATGCAGAGCGTTGCACCAAATGTCCAGAAGAACAATATCCAAACAAGGACCGAGATCACTGCATTCCGAGGATTATCACCTTCCTATCATATAAACAATATTTGGGGATTCTCCTGACTTCTTTGGCTCTCTTCCTGTCCTTAACCACAGGCTTTGTTGTAGGGATCTTCATTAAATACAAGGAAACTCCCATAGTCAAAGCCAACAACAGGGACCTCTCCTACATCCTCCTTGTCTCCCTCCTGCTGTCCTTCTTGTCCTCCTTCCTCTTCATTGGCCGTCCCAGGAAAGTCACCTGCCTCCTTCGACAAACGGCCTTCAGCACCATCTTCTCAGTTGCTGTATCCGCTTTGCTGTCCAAAACCATCATGGTGGTGCTGGCCTTCCTGGCCACAAAGCCAGGGAACAGGGTGAGGAGATGGTTAGGGAAAAGTCTGGCCAACTCCATTGTCCTTTCCTGCTCCAGTGTCCAAATGGTCATTTGCATCATTTGGCTGGGCATCTCTCCCCCATTCCCAGACTCTGACAAGCACTCCCAGGCTGGAGAGATCACCCTGCAATGCAATGAAGGGTCTGTTGCCATGTTTTATGCTGCCCTGGGTTACATGGGCTTCCTGGCTGCCATCTGCTTCACGGTGGCTTTCCTGGCCAGGAAGCTGCCTGGGGCCTTCAATGAAGCCAAGCTGATCACCTTCAGCATGCTGGTCTTCTGCAGCGTTTGGGTCTCCTTTGTGCCCACCTACCTGAGCACAAAGGGGAAATACATGGTAGCCGTGCAGATCTTCTCTATCTTGGCTTCTAGTGCTGGGCTTCTGGGCTGCATCTTCATTCCCAAATGCTACATTCTTGTGCTGAGGCCTGATCTGAACACAAAGGAACACCTGGCCACAAAAACTAAAGTTGTTGCCTGATTCTTAATATATTTATAACCGTTTTCCACCACAGTAGTAATGAAACACACAGAGTTGCCTTGGGAATGAATGCATCTCCTTAGATAAAGTTTGCTCCTTATTTTTCATTCATCTCGAATGATGAAAAGGAATCATTGTATCACATGCCTGGAGAGTGTCTGGACTTACAACTTTTAGGGATAACCCTATCTGTAGAGTCTCCTGGAGTGCAGCCTCCCTCTTCATACATAATTATCCTTCTCTATCACATCCAGTTTGTACTTTGACATGACCCACCTTCCTTTCTTCCTGAGTTCATAACCTAAGCCTAAATAATAACTTAGTGTAACTTGAAATTCTGCTTCTAATATTAAAAACAGCAACTGAAAAACAGAATCTCACTTGAGTGTATTAATGCTTGAGGGAACCTCCAGAAGGCCCTTGGAGCTGGACCTAAGTATCTGGTCTGGACGATGGGTGTGGAGACGCTCCTTTAAATATTCAGGGCCAATGTCATTTAGGGTTTTCAAGATTGGCATCAACAAACGGATGTGGCAGCTGTCTGTTTGGTGGGAGTGAGAGGGGCACCACGATAGCTGGAGCCAGAGACAATGATGGACAAGAACCACCACTTGTAAGTAAAAGGCTGGAATGTGGTGGTGGCATGAAGGCCGGTTGAGATTGGTGGGTAGTCCCCACTCACCCCCATGGAGCAGACCTCTCACTTATTTGCACTGAGCTGCTGGAGAAGGGCAGGATGCATCCTTTTGTCTCCCTCTCTTGTATAGCACCAGCACTCATAGACATCCAATGAATCGGAAGGTTGGGAGATTGAGAGCAAACAAAAGATTGAATCATGCAGTACATAGTTACTTCCCCCAAATGCCAGTTGCTGGTGACCAGTGCCTGGCAAGGCCCATTGCTTTCATGCCCTGCTTGTGAGCTTCTCAGCAATGTCTGATTGGCCACTGTGTTGCAGGACTAGATGGGAGTTTGGACTAACAAAGCAGGGCTGTTCTTAGCAAAGTTCAAGCCAAACTCATCTCGGAAATGCAAGTGACTCATGTTGCAGTTTGAAGCCACGTCTGTGATTTGGTGTAAACATATTTTTTCAGCTCTGTCCCTGCCCCTTGAACCATGTAGAGATCCCAAGAACTTTCTTCCCCTTTTAATTATAAAAATGATAGTGGTTTATTCTTCCCAAAGCTCAAGAGAGATCTCTGGCAATTGCCCAAACATCAGAAGCCAAGGAAGCCTGAGGTTATACGTATCACACTGTGCTGGAGGGTGTTGACTTCTGATTACCTGGCTGTGGGGGAGAAAGGAGAAGTCAAAATGGAGGTGTAGGAGGCCAAGCCAGAATGCCCTCCCTGCTGCGGCTTCTGCTGCTACCTCTGCTTCTAATGCACCATCAAGTCTTGACGTGCAGCGTAAATGAATAATACAGAGTTTTAAAGAATAAAAGCTTTACTAAGTTAAAATAAACTTCTTCATAAACAACATGGTTCCAAACAGTTTGACACTCAGATTACATAGTGACTCTGCTCACAACCGAAGCAGACAGACTCTGATTTCTTACAGAGAGCACAAAAGAGAAACTGGCTACTATGTCACATGTCAGAGTGACTCAACAGTTAGCACTTAGGCCTGAATAACTTTAGTAGGCCCAAATGACTGTGCAGTCCCAGCACTTCCCAGCCTGCTTTGCTGCTTCTGCTCTCATGTGTCTTTGTCACATTACAAGTCTGTAGGAAGCTGAAAGCAAAGTGCTCCTTAAATTTGATGAGGGAAGAAAATGAAGCGCAAAGTTACTTGCGGCCTGGAGACTTCCTCATTAGCGGAATCATATCTCCAAGAAGCTTTGCTGAGCAACTTCCATATAACTTTTCCCAGCCCCCAGTAACCAAGCTTAAAGAGTAAATAATTAAATACATCATGGATATCATGCTTCTCCACCACCTCTTCAATGGTTCACTTTCACAGGGAAATAGTTTCAGGGATAGGGAGACAGTGGCCCTTCAGGCGCTTCTGGGCTCTGGCTCCTATCATCCTGATCACTGTTTGTGGAGGCCAAGTCCGAGGGGAGTTTCTAATCTCTTTTCCTTTTGCTCCTTACGGTCTTCAAATAAAAACATCTTGGAGGTGCCATTAATTTGATTTGAATTGATTTTAAATGTATTGATTTTAGAATGCTGTGTTATTTTTATTGTTGTTAGCCGCTCTGAGCCCGGCTTCAGCTGGGGAGGGTGGGATATAAATAAAAATATTTTTTTAAAAAAATATTATTATTATTATTATTATTATTATTATTATTATCCGTGTCTTTTAAAATTATAAGCTTGAGGACATAGGCTGTTTTAGGAATGATATTTGTAAACTACAGTGGGAGATTGGCCAAAGAGCAAGATAAAGATGCTATAAATAACCTGAGGCCTTTGTACAGTTGTAGAATTGTAGAGTTGAATGTCCCCACCCCTCTGAATCTTGAGTGGAACCACAGGTTGTTGTTGGAATTAAAAAATAATCTGGATCCCAGATATTATTTTCCTGAGGGCTGCAGTAAACTCTATGAATATTATTATTATACTTATTATTATTATAATTATTAATTGAATTTATATACCTATGCCGGGAGGCCTCAGGGTAGTTCACAGAACAAAATCAAAGTGTAACTACGACACCACAAAATACGTAATCAAAACACAATGCCCCAATAACCCCTCCCCCCTGCATAGGCAAGCAGTTTCCTCTCACTGCAATTCCAGCTAATCATGTGTATGGTGAGAAAAAGGTCCAAAAGCATCATTGTCAAAGTTCCCTTAGCTCACTTGTGATGCGGAGGAGATTGACAGTAATTGACAGTAGACCTCTTAAAGTTTCTGATTCCCGATTCTTCACTAATAGCAATTGTGGAGTTGCCCACTGTTGCTTGAAATCATTTCTGTACCAGGCTCTTCTATCTTGAGTTAGACTGCATATTACTCATAGCTGAATTTCCTAAGCCTCTTAAGACGTTGTCAACTGAAATGCTAAAGTGCAAAATGAACTTAGCTAAATTAGTAGAAAAGGGACATTAAACTAGCTACAGGAAGGACATAGATAAAAGGTCATATGGAAATCTGCAACGGTGATACACATAGTTTGTGGAAGAGAAATATTTTCGGCATGTGAGTTTTGATGAGGATCAAAAGTACAAGACTAGGAGAAAACTTAGTACATGGAAGGACATGACTGAAACTTGATATTAGGTAGTCAGAAACGAGCCAAGCCAGACACCTGAGTTTGATTTTATTCTTATTCTTATTATCGTATTTATTAAATTTCTATAGCGCCCATCGGCCATAGATGTCAGGGTGGTTCACAACATAAAAATACAATATAAAAAAAGACAAAATACATAATAAAAAAGAACACAAACTAACCAATAATCCCTCCACCCAGAAGACATTTCAAAGGGCATTGGATGTCAATGAGCCAAAGGCCTGGTTAAAAAGGAACATTTCGCTTGGCACCTGAAGGTGTACAATGAAGGTAGCAGCCGGACCTCCCTGGAGAGCAGGGTCTCCAGTCCCACAAGCAAACACCCTTGATGTCAGGGGTGCCAACTTAAATAAAATATTGTGGGGACCCAGGTAAGCCACGTGACCCATGTCAAACTAACCAACTTTGCACCGACTTTGATTCCTCGCAACCATGTTTATCTCCAACTCTGCTCCTGCCCCTCAGGCCACACAGAGACTTCAGGTTGTTGCAGAGATGAACTTCTTCCCCTAATAATTATCAAAATCATCATGATTTATTCTGCCTTGTTGCTGAGGGAAAAGTTGATGCACAAAAGATCACCTGTGTCAGAGACAGACTGAGTCAAGACTGAGAGTAAGAGGGGTGGGATACATCTGTGTGAGGTTTAATGGCTCTGAAGCTGTAGCTGACCACCACCCATATTGGATAAATAAGAGTTTTTTGGCTTCTTCTGATGTAGCTGGCTATGGGGGAGAGAGGAACACTCACAAGAGAGGTGTAGCAGTCAGTCAGAATGAGATCCCAGAAGCTGATGCTGCTCATTTTGCTTGAATCCTGCGGAAACCTGAAAGCAAAATGCCCCTTGAATCCAATCCGGGAAGGAATCAAAGCACAGAATTATTTCCAGACTGGCGACTTCCTCATTGGCGGGATAATATCTCCAAATTTGTTTGGTCTACAACTTCCATACAACTTTTCGCAGCCCCCATTAACCAGGTTTAAGGATGAGTAAGTAATTATATGCAGAAGGACGTCACGTTTTTCTACTGCACCCCAATGGCTCCTGTTTACTAGGGAAATAGTCTCCATTTTAGGGGTGAGGACTCTGTGGTCTTCCAGACGTTGTGGGACTACAGCTCCCATCACCCCTGATCACTGGCCATGCTGGCAGGGGCTGAAGGGAACTTGAGTTTCACACCAGCTAGTGGGTTGCATCTTCCCAGACGTGCTCTATTTTTACCTTCTGTGCTGCTGTGTTGCTTGCTGAAGAACACAAGTGTATAAATGAACCTGATCATGATTTATTTTCATTAAATGGTGAATGGTTTGACACTTTTTATTTGATTGATTTCATACAGATTGCCATTTAGGTTCTACTGGCATATCTTGTCGTTCTTGTTCACCATCCAAGAGATCAACCGGGATCCCAGGCTCTTACCCAACATCACATTGGGCTACAGCCTCTATGAGAACTATTACAATGCAAGGATCACTTCTGATGCCATGCTAGACCTGCTTGCAGGTGGGGAAAGCAACATTCCAAACTATCGCTGTGGAAAATGGAATAATATCTTGGCTGTTCTTGAAGGAGCCAATTCCATCATCTCCAAAGTGATTTCAACCACGTCAGGCATGTACAAAATCCCACAGGTATGAAGGGTGGGGCATGGAGGGACACAAAAGAGGTTCAGCAGCAAAATAAATTCACTTCATCATCAGCAAAAAGAGGCATCAAATCCTGAGCTATGTTACGCTAGATAGCTCAGTTGGTTAGAGTGTGGTGCTGCCAATGTCAAGGTTGCAGGCTTGATCACCGTATGGGACAGCTGAATTGCAGGGGGGGAGGACAAGATGACCCTCAGGGTCGCTTTCAACTCTACGATTCTATGACTCTTCAACACAGAGACTTTGCTAGTTTTGCAACTGCCCAAAGTTTCAAAATAAAACTATCAGCCCAGGCCAGCACAATATTTGTTAGATATTAAGTATTTCAGACTAATCCTGTTCTTTGAAAATGAAACACTATACTTTTTCTCCCCCACTTCAGATCAGTTATGGCTTTGTATCTGGGGTTGATGATGAGAACACCAAAGTTCCTTTTGTCTACCGCATGGTCCCCAATGAAGACGTTCAGTACACGGGGATTGTAAAGTTGCTCCAGCATTTTGGATGGACATGGATCGGCCTCTTTGCTCCAGACAGTGAGAATGGAGAAAGGTTCTTGAGTGCCTTGACATCTCTGATGGCCAGCAATGGAATTTGTGTTGCCTTTTCAGTAAGAATACCAGAAAATAATGAACCTAAGATGTTCACACAAAGTGAATTTATTGCCCTATGGAGACAAACCAATGTATTCCTTTACTATGTAAACATTCAGACGGCACTGGGTTTCATCATGACATTACAACAAGAACTTGAGAAACAAATTGGGCCAAAAGTATGGCTCATAACAGCTTTTCAGGACATTGATATGAATTTATTTTTCTTTCCCAAGTCCTTGAAGTATATCCATGGTTCATTCTCCTTTGTAATGAAGACCAAAATTAGGAGCAAACGGGACTGCTGTAAAAAAGAGTCTTATCTTACTCTGTTTCGGCAAACAGCATTTAGTTGTTCAAACTCAAAGCACGTCCTCAGTGTGAGAGGTTGGACAAGATGCAGAGATGTGGAGAATCCGGAGGTGCCGTCTGAAGAGGAGCTGCAGAGTGTTCTGTCTCAAGACAGCCACAGAACATACTTCAGTGTCCAAATCATGGCACAAGCTTTAAATGTTGCCTGTTCATCTAGATCAAAGCAGATGTTGATGGCGGGTGGAAGAGACCAGTTGGCATGTCAAAGGCTAGAGCCATGGCAGGTATTTCATTTGCCTTTCTAGAAATTGAAGTTCTTTCTACCAACTCTACAATAATCATTCTCATTGATTTAGACACAAATGCAACAGTGAGGAAAAGGTTTTTGTTTTATTTATTTAGATTTAGATTATTTTTTTAGGCTCCTGCTGGAAAATATATATAAAATGTGTATTTCATAAAATATCAAGGTGGTCTACTGCAATAAAAAACATAAGACCATATAATAAAACCAATAGAAGCCAAAACCAGTTAAAAGCAGACTCCCTTCACCTGGAGGGTGTCTGTTTAGTCTTGCCAGTAGGATAAGTTGTGGCACAAAGGGAGTTTTGAGTTCTAAGGAAGCAGGGATGAGGCATCTAAAATGCTTTCTAAGTTCGGGTGTTTAGTCCTCCGTAAATTCTAACGAGGCCAGGTATGCCAGGACTTTGGAGCTGAAAGGTAGCAGGGATGAGATGTCCAAAATGCTTTGAAATGATTTGAAATGCTGGTGTTTCCCCTGTCATTCCAGCTTCACCCTTTCTTAAGAGAAACCCGTTTGTTGAACACTTCCATGGGCGGACTGTATTTGGGTGAGGATGGGGAGCTGCCAATCATGTTTGATATTGAGAATTGGGTGGTGCTTCCCAATGAGTCTTGTGTTAGAGTGAAAATTGGGAGTATAGAGAGAGAGGCATCCACTGACTTCAAGCTCACCATTAACCCAGAAGCTATTGTGTGGCCCAAGTGGTTCAACCAGGTAAGAGCCCCTTTATTCCACATGATACACATGAAGATCTAGTAAACTGTTGAATATTTCCAAGAGGAATTCAGGTATAATCTTTTGGAAGTTTGGCTGATGCTTTCATTATAATTAATTAGGTAAATTATTAAATGTGTATAATGCTCTTCATGTGCAGATACACACACACACATGTATGTGTGTATGTATGTATGTAATTTTTTCATTTATTGTGGGAGCCTTTTTTGTGGAACCTGATTGAGCTGCACAATATGGTCCATGGTAAATCCAGCAACAGAAAAATTCCTGTGGTGCCCGCCTTCCCTGGATGCGCTAAGCACGTACTTATTCTGCTTAATGGTTAATCCAGCCCGGCCCTGCGAGATCTCATGAGAACATCGCAGAGCCCACGCAAGAGCATCCTGGAGCCCAGTGAGCAAACCAGAGAGCTTGGGAGTAAGACCTGCTTGGCATGCCAGCTCCGGAAGGTCAGGGTGGTTGTGCAGGAGCCGTTCCAAGGGGCTCATTCGAGCGCAGTCGAATTTTGGTTCTGGAACTTAATCCATTCCGGAAGTCTGCTCAACTCCCCAAACTGTTCGAAAACCAAGGAATGGCTTCCGATTGGCTGCGGGAGCTTCCTGCACTCAACTGAAAGCCGCGTCAGACGTTCGGCTTCCGAAAAATGTTCACAAACCGGAACACTTGCCCCCGGGTTTGCAGCGATCAGTAGCTGATTTGTTTGGGAGCCAAGACATTCAGGAACCAAGGTACCACTGTATATACATTTTTGCATATACTACTCCTTCCCCAGAATGTAACCCCTGCATAAGATGTGATCATACTCTATGTTTAAATACTGCTCTTCATCAGAGTGTTTTATTGCTTCTGTTCTGGGATGGCCTTTTTCTTTAGTTTTCTTTCTTCATCTTTTGCCCTGAGCCTAGAGAACTTGTTGGGTTGTTTCCAAACTCTATGAATCAACTCCATAGACACAAATATTCCGGGCACACAACTATTTCTCCTGTATGTACCCTCTTTTTTCTTATTATTAGACTGTGCCTCAGTCCAGTTGTTCAAAGACCTATGTATTAATACTCTTTTCAGTACATTTCCGAGCACAATTCAAAGTGTTGGTGCTGACCTTTAAAGCCCTAAACCGCCTCAGCCCAATATATCTGAAGGAGCGTCTCCAGCCCCATCGTTCAGAGGTCCAGCTCCAAGGGCCTTCTGGCCGTTCCCTCCCTGCAAGAAGTGAGGTTATAGGGAACCAGGCAGAGGGTCTTCTTGGTAGTGGTGCCTGCCCCGTGGAACGCCCTCCCATCAGATGTCAAGGAAATAAACAACTTTTATAAGACATCTGAAGGCAGCCCTGTTTAGGGAAGTTCTTAATGATTGATATTTTAATGTATTTCTAATCTATTGTTGGAAGCTGCCCAGAGTGGCTGGGGAAACCCAGCCAGATGGGTGGGGTATAAATAAATTATTATTGCTATTGTTATTATTTAAAAAGCAAACACAGCAGGGAGGCTTCCATTCTATATCAAGCATAGGAGCCAACTCCTAGGAGCTGTGGGGGCTTTGGCCCCCGCAATAAAATATTTGAGGGGGCTGGGGACCCATAAAGATGATGGGCATCAATTATGTGTTGTGTGGCTTATCTGGGCCCCCACAATATTTTATTCAAGTTGGCACCCCTGACATCAAGGGTGCTTTCTTGTGGGACTGGAGACCCTGCTGGGTTCTCTCCAGACTCTCTGAGTGAGTTCCATATGCACAAATATTGCTGACACTTCCCCTTTAATGTGCAATTTTTTCTTCATGGCTAGACTGTTCCTCACGCCAGGTGTACCAAAAGGTGTCACCCAGGATATGCCAAGGTGGTTCAAGAAGACAAGCCAGTTTGCTGCTATGCTTGTGTTCCGTGTGCGGAAGGGACCATATCTACACAGGAAGGTGGGTGACGCCACAGGAGATGGAATTTGTTGGGAGAATATGAATAGGGCAACATATTGGCCAGAAACCTTCTGTGAAGATTCTAAAGACGTATTTGGATGCAGATCCTTTATTGATTTCTTCATTTTTAACTCCTTCCAGGAATTTATTTGAAAGAAATGACACGCAGGAAGCAATCTCTGGGATGCAAATTGGGTTCAGCCTGCCCTGCCCATATGGCACAGCTTTGGCTATTTTGTACCAAGCCTTCTAGGACCAGAGAACCAGAACCACTGTCACAAAAAGAAATTAAAAATGTCATCAAAATAAACGAGAAATACTGAAAATAGCAAATATTTATTTAAAAGAGAGAAAGCATGATGCACAATAATCAAAAAAATTAGGTGAACATTCCATTCCATTGCATTGTAGAACAATTAAAGATTATGAGATTTCAGCAGGAAGTTATGGGATATCCCAGACAAGGAGTTTGAGAACAGCTGTAGCAGTTTGGAAGAGAGGAGTTCAAGGATATTAAAAATAAATAAATCATAAGTTGTGTGTCCTAGTTTTTCAGTTTGATCCTTTTGCATGTTTTGTGGTATTTTATTCATTGTGACTTGCTGTTTTTTATTAATTATAAATTAGGAATTCTTTATTGTACATGATAAGCATTAGCTGTTTCTTATTTGCTGATATTAAATTTTACTTTTTACTATTTCTGAGTGTTATGATTGAATATTATTGAATTTTGCATTATATGATATGTTGTTTATTTTAAAGTTATGCTTTTATGATGACTTTTTGTGTGTGTATTACGTCTGTGATCTTTGCTGTCTATTTTGTTGTTTCTTCAGTTTGTAACCTTCCTTCTGCATAGCAATGTACAAAGGCAGTATACAAATTAAACGCGAAATGAAATATGGAAATGAAGCGGGGTTACTGCCCAAAAACTATCGCATAAGTAAATGCACCAAAGAAGCTTTCCTTTCTTACAATACATTCTCATTTTCTGATATCTCCCATATGAGTGCATTTCTCAACATGTAATAGAATATGTCTGTAAGCAAAGCCAAAGCCATTCCTTTTCTCCTCCTCAGATGCAGAGCGTTGCACCAAATGTCCAGAAGAACAATATCCAAACAAGGACCGAGATCACTGCATTCCGAGGATTATCTCCTTCCTATCATATAAACAATATCTGGGGATTCTCCTGACTTCTTTGGCTCTCTTCCTGTCCTTAACCACAGGCTTTGTTGTAGGGATCTTCATTAAATACAAGGAAACTCCCATAGTCAAAGCCAACAACAGGGACCTCTCCTTCATCCTCCTTGTCTCCCTCCTGCTGTCCTTCTTGTCCTCCTTCCTCTTCATTGGCCGTCCCAGGAAAGTCACCTGCCTCCTTCGACAAACGGCCTTCAGCACCATCTTCTCAGTTGCTGTATCCTCTTTGCTGTCCAAAACCATCATGGTGGTGCTGGCCTTCCTGGCCACAAAGCCAGGGAACAGGGTGAGGAGATGGTTAGGGAAAAGTCTGGCCAACTCCATTGTCCTTTCCTGCTCCAGTGTCCAAATGGTTATTTGCATCATTTGGCTGTGTATCTCTCCCCCATTCCCAGACTCTGACATGCACTCCCAGGCTGGAGAGATCACCCTGCAATGCAATGAAGGGTCTGTTGCCATGTTTTATGCTGCCCTGGGTTACATGGGCTTCCTGGCTGCCATCTGTTTCACGGTGGCTTTCCTGGCCAGGAAGCTGCCTGGGGCCTTCAATGAAGCCAAGCTGATCACCTTCAGCATGCTGGTCTTCTGCAGCGTTTGGGTCTCCTTTGTGCCCACCTACCTGAGCACCAAGGGGAAATACATGGTAGCTGTGCAGATCTTCTCTATCTTGGCTTCTAGTGCTGGGCTTCTGGGCTGCATCTTCATTCCCAAATGCTACATTCTTGTGCTGAGGCCTGATCTGAACACAAAGGAACACCTGGCCACAAAAACTAAAGTTATTGCCTGATTCTTAATATATTTATAACCGTTTTCCACCACAGTAGTAATGAAACACACAGAGTTGCCTTGGGAATGAATTTACCTCCTTAGATTATGTTTGCTCTTCATTTTTCATTCATCTTGAATGATGAAAGGGAATCATTGGATCACATGCCTGGAGAGGGTCTGGACTTACAACTTTTCGGGATAACCCTACCTGGAGAGTCACCTGGAGTACAGCCTCCCTCTTCATACATAATTATCTTTCTCCACAATATCCAGTTTATATTTTGACATGACCCACCTTACTTTCTTCCCGAGTTCATAACCGAAGCCTAAAAAATAAATTAGTGTAACTTGAAATTCTGCTTCTACTATTAAAAACAGCAACTGAAAAACGGAATCTCGCTTGAGTGTATTAATGCTTGAGGGAACCTCCAGAAGGCCCTTGGAGCTGGACCTCAGTATCTGGTCTGGACGATGGGTGTGGAGACGCTCCTTTTGATATTCAGGGCCAATGTCATTTAGGGCTTTAAAGGTCAGCATCAACAAATATATGTGGCAGCTGTCTGTTTGGTGGGAGTGAGAGGGGCACCACGATAGCTGGAGCCAGAGACAATGATGGACAAGAACCACCACTTGTAAGTAAAAGGCTGGAATGTGGTGGTGGCATGAAGGCCGGTTGAGATTGGTGGGGTAGTCCCCACTCACCCCCATGGAGCAGACCTCTCACTTATTTGCACTGAGCTGCTGGAGAAGGGCAGGATGCATCCTTTTTGTCTCCCTCTCTTGTATAGCACCAGCACTCATAGACATCCAATGAATCGGAAGGTTGGGAGATTGAGAGCAAACAAAAGATTGAATCATGCAGTACATAGTTACTTCCCCCAAATGCCAGTGGCTGGTGACAAGTGCCTGGCAAGGCCCATTGCTTTCATGCCCTGCTTGTGAGCTTCTCAGCAATGTCTGATTGGCCACTGTGTTGCAGGACTAGATGGGAGTTTGGACTAACCAAGCAGGGCTGTTCTTAGTAAAGGTCAAGCCAAACTCATCCCCGAAATTCAAGTGACTCATGTTGCAGTTTGAAGCCACATCTGTGATTTGGTGTAAACATATTTTTTCAGCTCTGTCCCTGCCCCTTGAACCATGTAGAGATCCCAAGAACTTTCTTCCCTTTTTAATTATAAAAATGATAGTGGTTTATTCTTCCCAAAGCTCAAGAGAGATCTCTGGCAATTGCGCAAACATCAGAAGCCAAGGAAGCCTGAGGTTATACGTGTCACACTGTGCTGGAGGGTGTTGACTTCTGATTACCTGGCTGTGGGGGAGAAAGGAGAAGTCAAAATGGAGGTGTAGGAGGCCAAGCCAGAATGACCTCCCTGCTGCGGCTTCTGCTGCTGCCTCTGCTTCTAATGGACCATCAAGTCTTGACGCGCAGCGTAAATGAATAATGCAGAGTTTTAAAGAATAAAAGCTTTACTAAGTTAAAATAAACTTCTTCATAAACAACATGTTTCCAAACAGTTTGACTGAGATTACATACTGACTCTGCTCACAACTGAAGCAGACAGACTCTGATTTCTTACAGAGAGCACAAAGGAGAAACTGGCTACTTTGTCACATGTCAGAGTGACTCAACAGTTAGCAGTTAGGCCTGAATAACTTTAGTAGGCCCAAATGACTGTGCAGTCCCAGCACTTCCCAGCCTGCTTTGCTGCCTCTGCTCTCATGTGTCTTTGTCACATGACAAGTCTGTGGGAAGCTGAAAGCAAAGTGCTCCTTAAATTTGACGAGGGAAGAAAATGAAGCGCAGAGTTACTCATGGCCTGGATATTTCCTCATTAGCGGAATCATATCTCCAAGAAGCTTTGCTGAGCAACTTCCATAGAATTTTTCCCAGCCCCCAGTAACCAAGCTTAAAGTGTAAATAATTAAATACATCATGGATATCATGCTTCTCCATCACCACTTCAATGGTTCCCTTTAACCGGGAAATAGTTCTTATTTCAGGCATAGGGAGACAGTGGTGCTGCTGGGCTCTGGCTCGTAACATCCTGATCACTGTTTGTGGAGGCCGAGGCTGAGGGGAGTTTCTAATCTCTCTCTTTTTTTTTTATAATTGATATTTATTGAATTTTCAAAAAATAACAACAAAAATTTCCAAAAAAAAAAATTAAGGATACAAAAAACAAAAATAGTACATAAACAAAAAAGAAAAGAAAACCCAGCCGCAAAGAAGAAAAAAAAAAAGAGAAACAGAAAAACAAAAATATAAAGTCCTTTACAATCTCTATTGACTTCCTTTCTAGACTTCCTCCTCCTCCCCTCTTTTGTTTCTTAATTTTTAATTTTTACAGCAAATCCTTTCTGTTTTTTCATAACAATCTGTCATTACGTTTCCTTATTCTATTTTCCCTCTTGTCATATAAAAACTTTAAAACTCATAGCTTATATTCAATATTTACCAAATTCTTGCATCATTACCTTTTACGAATCATTTACCAATCCTTACTTAAGCCATGTAATTTCATTCAACATCCTTCAAACATTTGTAAGCATTCCCAATATTAAAAATAAAAAAGAAAAAATAATAAGTCAAATTCAGTCCAGTCAGCTTCCAACCTCCCCTCCCCTGGACCCGGGATTGTCAGTCCTTTTAACCTCGATAATCCGGCTCCTTAACCTGGTTGTCTCGTATCCGAGGCCCTCAAGTCTCTTTCTTGCCCCTTTCGCCACTCTTGTTGATGATTCCTTTCCAGTCGTGGATGCTCCAGCAAGAAAATGCTTTTGACCCTTTGCAGCAAGTCCATCCCAAACCCATTGCCCAAGCCAGACAGCAAATAATACCACTTCAAATTTCCACAAAGCTTGGAGACTTCGGCTACTCCAATCCTCTGATAGCCCATCACCAGACTCGGAAGGTCCAAATAACCATATGGAGGGGGTCGATCCATCCCCCATTTCCAAATCTGACCACATTTCATCTTTCCGAATCTGGTTTGTCCCAAGTTCATTTATCAAGTTCAAAGGCTGATCTTGCCCGTCCAAAGGTCCCTCCATCTCTGAAGCCTCCGTCACTACAGCAGGTTCATATGCTTGTATAGCCTTTAACTGAATTTCATTTATTTGCTGCTGTGCTCTGGTAACTTCCATCATCAAGGTCGTCTCCTGACGCATCTGGTCCAGCTGGGCACTTAGTTTTGAAAAACCTTCCAGGAACAATTGTTCAAGCCTTTGTACTAGCATTGTCCTTCAAGGTCAAAGAAAATTCTTTCCCACGAGAATAGTCCAATAGTCCTTCTCTTTTAATCTCTCTGCGTGGAAATTTCACTAAATTCCACTATATGGAATTTTTTTTTTTTTAAAAGGAATAAAAGCAACAGCAACAATCTTTCTTTTTCCAGAAACACTTTATCCAAAATTCCCCTTCCAAATTCAAGAGGCAACAGTAGAATCAAAATGTTACCCTTCTTTTAACTAACTGTCGAGCTGGATAAACTTCAGAACGTCAATTCTGACAGCCCGCTCCTGGTTCAGGGCGGTGGAAAATTGCTTTATTTTAAACTCACTTCCGCAGGATTGAAAAGTCCAAATACAACCCCCTTCTTCTCCTGCAGTCAAAGGGGGTTCAGAAATCTTAGATGTTGAATTCTAGTTCTCTTAGAATTTAATTTTCAAGCTTTAGTATATTTTGTCTTTGCTTTCTTCACATAACAAAAGAACGGAAGGCGACTTCCTGTTTAGACCTTCCCATTCCGAGTCCCAATTAAGTTCAATTTCAAGTCCAATATTATTTGTTTATTCACCAGTCTTAAAAGTGGTTCAACTCTTCCAAGATCAGGTACTCACGGATAGATATTTTAGATGCCAAATTGTCCAGGAAAAGGCAGCGCTCTCCGATAACGGCAGTGCGGCTTTGCTGCACGGAGGAAGCAGACGACTCACAGCACCACGCACCTCCCACTCCGGAGCCCGTTACCGGGCTCCTGTACAAGGGGAGAGAGCGCTCTCGGTGCCCGCCGAGTCCCACGTCCACAGGCTTCTTCCGCCTGTGGTTTTTGCGGGTCCCCGCTGCGCCGTAGCGGCAGGACCCAAGCCTCCGTGCAGCGGGTTCCCTTCAGTCCGAAGGGAATTCCGCCATTTTCCGGAGGCGCCACCCCGGAAGTCTAATCTCTTTTCCTTTTGCTCCTTACGGTCTTCAAATAAAAACATCTTGGAGGTCCTGGGCCACAGGGAGGTTAGACTGGCCTCAACCAGAGCCAGGGCTTTTTTGGCTGTGGCCCCGATCTGGTAGAACACCCTGTCACAAGAGACTAGGGCCCTTTGGGACTTGACATCTTTCCGCAGGGACTGCAAGACAGAGCTGTTCCGCCTGGCCTTTGGCCAAGGCACAGTCTGACCCCCTCCTTTCGTAATCATCACAAAACTCTAGCCCAGTGGTTGCCATTAATCTGATTTGAATTGATTTTAAAATGAATCGATTTTAGAATGCTGTGCTACTTTTATTGTTATTATCCATGTCTTTTAAAATTATAAACTTGAAGTCATAGGCAGTTTTAGGAATGATTTGTAAGCTACAGTGGGAGTTTGGCCAAAGAGCAAGATCAGGACGGTATAAACGGAGGCCTTTGTACAGTTGTAGAATTGTAGAGTTGAATGTCCCCACCCCTCTGAATCTTGAGTGGAACCACAGGTTGTTGTTGGAATTAAAAAATAATCTGGATCCCAGATAGTATTTTCCTGAGGGCTGCTGTAAACTCCACAAATATTATTATTATCATTATTTACTCAATTTATATACCACCCTATACCGGAGGTCTCAGGGCGGTTCACAGAAGAAAATCAAAGTATAACTATGAAACCACAAATTACATAATCAAAAAACAATGCCCCAATAACCCCACCCCCCACTGCATAGGCAAGCAGTTTCCTCTCACTGCAATTCCAGCTAACCATGTGTATGGTGAGGAAAAGCATCGTTGTCAAAGTTCCCTTAGCTCACTTGTGATGCGGAGGAGATAGATAATTGACAGTAGACCTCTTAAAGCTTCTGATTCCCGATTCTTCACTAATAGCAATTGTGGAGTTGCCCACTGTTGCTTGAAATCATTCCTGTACCACGCTCTTTGATCTTGAGTTAGACTGCATATTACTCATAGATGAATTTCCTAAGCCTCTTAAGACGTTGTCAACTGAAATGGAAGGACATGACTAAGTGATATTAGGTAGTCAGAAATGAGCTAAGCCAGACACCTCAGTTTGATTAATTATTATTATTATTATTATTATTATTATTATTATTATTGTTATTAATAATAGCACCAATTGGCCATAGATGTCAGGGTGGTTCACAACATAAAAAGACAATGTAAAAAAGGCAAAATACATAAAAAAAGAACATAAACAAACCAATAATGCCTCCACCAGAAAACATTTAAAAGGGCATTGGATGTCAATCAGCGAAAGGCCTGGTTAAAAAGGAACGTTTCGCTTGGCACCTAAAGGTGTACAATGAAGGTACCAGCCAAACCTCCCCGGAAAGCATTCCGCAAATTGTGTCCTTGAGGAATCCCCTGGAATCTTTGTGAATCCTCTAAGCCCCTCAAAGAGGCATCCATGGAAGAATCCACTTGGAGAATCTATATATAAAATAGGAAGCAATTTTTTGGATACTGTAGCCCAATGGAGAAATTCACTGACACAGGAAATAGTGAAGAAGTACGCATGCACGGGACACGGGTGGCGCTGTGGGTTAAACCACAGGGCCTAGGACATGTATGATCAGAAGGTCGGCGGTTCGAATCCCCACGACGGGGTGAGCTCCCGTTGCTCGGTCCCTGCTTCTGCCAACCTAGCAGTTCGAAAGCACGTCAAAGTGCAAGTAGGTAAATAGGTAGTGCTCCAGCGGGAAGGTAAATGGCATTTCCATGCACTGCTCTGGTTCGCCAGAAGCGGCCTAGTCATGCTGGCCACATGACCCGGAAGCTGTACGCCGGCTCCCTTGGCCAATAAGGCTAGATGAGCGCCGCAACCCCAGAGTCGGCCCAATAACAAACTTAGTTGGTCTCTAAGGTGCTACTGGAAGGATTTTTTAAAATTTTGTTTCAGCTGCTAACTGAGACACTTTTAAAAGACACATCACTTCCAGAATCAGAGGCTGCATATCTCTGAATGTCAGTTGCTGGGATCAACTCTATTGCCATCAGCTTGGGTGGATCCCAGAAATGTCTGATTGGCCACTGGGTGCAACAAGATACTGCATTGGATTAAGCTTTGAACTGAACCAGCAGCAGGACTCTTGTAATGCTCTTGTCAGCAGCAAAGTTCATGCCAAACTGTCACTCACCACGTGACCCATGTCAAACTTTGGAGCAGCAACTTTGTTTCCTCCCAAACATGTTTATCTCCAACTCTGCTCCTGCCCCTCAGGCCACACAGAGACTTCAGGTTGTTGCAAAGATGAACTTCCTTCCCCTTATAATTATCAACATCATAGTGATTTATTCTGCCTTGTTCCTGAGGGAAAAGTTGATGCACAAAAGATCACCTGTGTCAGAGACAGACTGAGTCATGATTGAGAGTAAGAGGGGTGGGATACATCTGTGTGAGGTTTAATGGCTCTGAAGCTATAGCTGAGCACTACCCATATTGGATAAATAAGAGTTTTTTGGCTTGTTCTGATGTAGCTGGCTATGGGGGAGAGAGGAACACTCACAAGAGAGGTGTAGCAGTCAGTCAGAATGAGATCCCATATGCTGATGCTGCTCATTTTGCTTGAATCCTGCGGAAACCTGAAAGCAAAATGCCCCTTGAATCCAATCCGGGAAGGAATCAAAGCACAGAATTATTTCCAGACTGGCGACTTCCTCATTGGCGGGATAATATCTCCAACTTTGATTGCTCTACAACATCCATACATCTTTTCGCAGCCCCCATTAACCAGGTTTAAGGATGAGTAAGTAATTATATGCAGAAGGACGTCACGTTTTTCTACTGCACCCCAATGGCTCCTGTTTACTAGGGAAATAGTCTCCATTTTAGTGGTGAGGACTCTGTGGTCTTCCAGACGTTGTGGGACTACAGCTCCCATCACCCCTGATCACTGGCTATGCTGGCAGGGGCTGAAGGGAACTTGAGTTTCTCACCAGCTAGTGGGTTGCATCTTCCCAGACGTGCTCTATTTTTACCTTCTGTGCTGCTGTGTTGCTTGCTGAAGAACACAAGTGTATAAATGAACCTGATCAGGCATCAAAATGATTCACTGAATGACCACACCTGCATTCATGAGATGAGTGGGACACTGGAGAAAATCCTACTTTGTGTTCCTGGTATGCAGGTGTATGGGAAATAGCACTTTCTGAACATTTGACCCAATGCGGCAGAGTTTTTAATGGACACGTAAATAAAGCCGAATTTTTAAGCATGTGGTTGTTCTTTACAGACCACATTAAGAAGCCAGCACAGTTATTGCAACCCCCTATAACACATGTATCTCTATGGAGAGGACTAATTAACCAGTGAGCCTATTATGTACCTTAAGGTTACTTCCAATAATATATACTCTGAGTGTTCTGTTTGCTGTTCATGTTAAGTTTATAGTGTTACTGTTGAAAACCAAAAGAAAACATATTTAAACAGACAAAACAGAGGTCTTTTATGCTGACATTTGGGAGGGCATTTGATTCCATCCCTTCCCCTGTCTGAAATAACCTCCCAGAAGATATCAGCAGAATTACCAGTAGTGTCTGCGACTGCCATTGCATTGAGATTGAACAGTTCCCACAGGGAGAAATATGAATGACAAGGAAACTATCATTCTGGATGAAATGCTAGTTTAAGTGGACATTATCTCAAACTGGAACTACACTAGAAGCCCCCTTTGATGCAGAATAAGACACGCAATTGCAAGCTTAGCCAAGTTCAGTGCTTCTTGGGAATTAATTTGGCTCCAGGGACTTTTTTCTCTGCCCCCTCCCCCAGCAGCAATCCCCATTCCTAAGATTTCCCCCTCACTGCTGTGCCAGACACCTGAATTCACTTGCACAGGAGAGACGGAAGGAAATACATCCTTCTGATGGTTTGTTTCATTGGAAGACTGGTTGGAACTGGCCTTTATTAAAGAACAGCCCAATCCTAATCTTGCCTATTGAAAATAAGCCATACTAATCAAATAGAGCTTCTAAACAGACTTAGCTCTCCATTGCAGTTGGCTCTTTATGCAACTCCTTTGAAGCAGCCAATACTAGCCTTAGCAGCCATGTCCCCATATTTCTCACACATTCGGAAAGAATAATGTTTTCTTCATTTTCCTTCTTTGAAGATGTGTGCTTCTCCTCTTGAGAAATCCTTATATTTTAGTTCTTAAGTGGCAAATGGATTTTCATCTTGTAAGAAGGATATGTCTCTTCTCACCCTTCAAACAAACATACAGACTAGGGTCCCCATATAGTGACAAGTGAAAATCTAGACAAAAAGATTTATTGGCAAAGTTTCTGAGTTATTTTAAAGGAAATTCCAGTGATTTCCACCCGCACACTGTTTCCAACTGTTATCTTCCTGCTATGCCTGTATGGCAGCCCTAATGCAGTCCATTATTTAGGGAATCAAATACTATTTATTTTCAACAAGTGGTGAATGGTTTGACATTTTTATTTGATTGATTTCTTACAGATTGCCATATAGGTTCTACTGGCATATCTTGTCGTTCTTGTTCACCATCCAAGAGATCAACCAGGATCCCAGGCTCTTACCCAACATCACTCTGGGCTACAGCCTCTATGAGAACTATTACAATGCAAGGATCACTTCTGATGCCATGCTAGACCTGCTTGCAGGTGGGGAAAGCAATATTCCAAACTATCGCTGTGGAAAATGGAATAATATCTTGGCTGTTCTTGAAGGAGCCAATTCCATCATCTCCAAAGTGATTTCAACCACGTCAGGCATGTACAAAATCCCACAGGTATGAAGGATGGGGCATGGAGGAACACAAAACAGGTTCAGCAGCAAAATAAATTCTCATTATCGTCAGCAGAGTCAAAAAGAGGCATCAAAGAGGGAGAAAATCCTGAGCTATGTTAAGCTAGATAGCTCAGTTGGTTAGAGTGTGGTGCTGCCAACATCAAGGTTGCAGGACAAGATGAACCTCAGGGTCACTTCCAACTCTACAATTCTATGATTCTTCCCTGCTAGGGAAGCTTTTAATGTTTAATAGGTTATTGTATTTTAGTGTTCTGTTGGAAGCCGCCCAGAGTGGCTGGGGAAATGCAGCCAGATGGGCGGGGTATAAATAATAAATAATAATTATTATTAAAACGGAGACTTTGTTAGGGTTGCAGCCTCCCGAAGTTTCCAAATAAAACTATCAGCCCCAGTCAGCACAATATTTGTTAGGTATTAAATATTTCAGGCTATTCCTGTACTTTCCTCTGAAAATAAAACACTCTAGTTTTCTTCCAGATCAGTTATGGCTTTGTATCTGGGGTTGTTGATGAGAACACTGAAGTCCCTTTTGTCTACCGTACGGTCCCCAATGAAGAAGTTCAGTATCTGGCGATTGTAAAGTTCCTCCAGCATTTCGGATGGACGTGGATCGGCCTCTTTGCTCCGGACAGTGAGAATGGAGAAAGGTTCTTGAGTGCCATGACATCTCTGATGGCCAGCAATGGAATTTGTGTTGCCTTTTCATTAACAATACCAGAAAAGAATGAACCTAAGATACTGACACAAAGTAAATTAATTACCCTACGGAGACAGACCAATGTATTCCTTTACTATGTAAACGTTCATACAGCACTGCGTGTCATCATGCAACTGCAAGAAGAACATGAGAAACAAATTGGGCCAAAAGTATGGCTCACAACAGCTTTTCAAGACCTTGACATAAATTTGTTTTTCGGTCCCAAGTACTTGAAGTATATCCATGGTTCATTCTCCTTTGTAATGAAGACCAAAATAAGGAGCAAACGTAAATCAGAGTCCTATCTTTTGCTGCAAAAAGCATTTAGTTGTTTATACTCAAAGCACGTCCTCGCTGTGAGAGGTTGGACAAGATGCAGAGATGTGGAGAATCCGGAGGTGCCGTCTGAAGAGGAGCTGCAGAGTGTTCTGTCTCAAGACAGCCACAGAACATACTTCAGTGTCCAAATCATGGCACATGCTTTAAATGTTGCCTGTTCATCCAGATCAAAGCAGATGTTGATGGTGGGTGGAGGAGACCAGTTGCCATGTCAAAGGCTACAGGCATGGCAGGTATTTCCTTTCCATTTCTAGAAATCAAAGTTCTTTCCACCAACTCTACAATAATCATTCTCATTGATTTAGGCACGAATGCAACAGTGAGGAAAAGGTTTTTGTTTTATTTATTTAGATTTAGATTATTTTTTTAGGCTCCTGCTGGAAAATATATATACAATGTGTATTTCATAAAATATCAAGGTGGTCTACTGCAATAAAAAACATAAGATCATATAATAAAACTAAAAGAAGCCAAACATGTAAAAACAGACATCATTCCACCTGGAGGGTGTCTGTTTAGTTTTGCCAGTAGGAGAAGTTGTGGCACGACAGGAGTTTTGAGTTCCAAGGAAGCAGGGATGAGGCATCTAAAATGCTTTCTAAGATCTGGTGTTTAGTCCTCTGTAGATTCCAACGAGGCCAGGTATGCCAGGACTTTGGAGTTCAAAGGGAGAAGGGATGAGATGTCCAAAATGCTTTGAAATGCTCGTGTTTTCCCTGTCATTCCAGCTTCACCCTTTCTTAAGAGAAACCCGGTTGTTGAACACTTCCATGGGCGGACTGTATTTGGGTGAGAATGGGGAGCTGCCAATCATGTTTGATATTGAGAATTGGGTGGTGCTTCCCAATGAGTCTTGTGTTAGAGTGAAAATTGGGAGTATAGAGAGAGAGGCATCCACTGACTTCAAGCTCGCCATTAACCCAGAAGCTATTGTGTGGCCCAAGTGGTTCAACCAGGTAAGAGCCCCTTTATTCCACATGATACACATGAAGATCTAGTAATCTGTTGAATATTTCCAAGAGGAATTCAAGTATAATCTTTTGGAAGTTTGGCTGATGCTTTCATTATAATTAATTAAGTAAATTATTAAATGTGTATAATGCTCTTCATGTGCAGATACATACACACATGTATGTATGTATGTTTGTATGCATGTAATTTTTTAATTTATTTATTAATATTATACTGTGCTTCATTCCAGTTGTTCAAAGACCTATGTACTGATACCTTTTTCAGTACGTTTCCAAGCACAATTCAAAGTGTTGGTGCTGACCTTCAAAGCCCTAAACGGCCTCAGCCCATTATATCTGAACGAGCGTCTCCACCCCCATTGTTCAGGTCCAACTCTGAGGGCCTTCTGGTTGTTCCCTCCCTGCAAGAAGTGAGGTTACAGGGAACAAGGCAGAGGGCCTTCTCAGTAGTGGTGCCTGCCCCGTGGAACGCCCTCCCATCCGATGTTAAGGAAATAAACAACTACCTGACTTTTAGAAGACATCTGAAGGCAGCCCTGTTTAGGGAAGATATTAATGATTGATGTTTTTCTAATCTTTTGTTGGAAGCCGCCCAGCACAGCTGGGGAAACCCAGCCAGATGGGTGGGGTATAAATAAATTATTATTGTTACAAAAGTAAACACTGTAGGGGGGTTTCCGTTCTACATCAAGCATAGGAGCCAATTCCTAGGAACTTTGGGGGCTTTGGCCCCACAATAAAATATTTGAGGGAGCTGGGACCCCATAAAGTTGATGGGCATCGATTATGTGTTGTGCGGCTTACCTGGGCCCCCACAATATTTTATTCAAGTTGGCACCCCTGACATCAAGGGTGTTTTTATATATATATATTTTTTATTAAATTTCCATTTACCAAACCAATCATATCATATCATATTATTTATTCCAAATTATATCAACACATATCACTAAGTCCAAATATTAAACTAAATTTTAAATTTTTTGTGGGGGGTACCCATGCTTTGAGTTTGGTAGGAGTCCAATCATCTTTATATTTCTTCTGCTTTGATGTTCACAGTCCCATCTTCTCATCTCCTTGTCATTATCCTTTTTCTTCTTAATAACCTCTGAATTTTCTCCACCAGTGAGTTGAAAGAAACAGCCTTGTTATATTTCTGTGTGAACTTTGTAATGCTTTCCCGTAATTCATCTCACATAAATCCAAGAGTCCAAGAGTCTTATTCAGGCGGCAGTCGCCATTTTAGTCAATTCCGATGAAATACAGTCTCGGCGTCCGCTCCTTAATTTTCCCAGACCTTCTGCACCATAAATCAGTCTTTCCAGAAGGGTTATTGCCCTTTCAAATTTACGATCCAAACCTGATAGCAGAACAGTGGCTTGCCCTCCCTAAAACTGAAAATCTTGCATCAAGGTCTGCCTCTTAATGGCGGATCACTTTGTAACTACGCCACAAGAAAGCCTCCCTTCTTTCCAGATCTTTCACAGAGTAAATCCTTTTATTAGCATTTTTGTTTCCACACAGTCTATTTTTCATTCTCACTTGCAATCAATCATTGCGGCGGTTCTTCTAAGGGGGGAGGGGGTTGTTAGGTAAATCATACTAAAAAAAAAAGAAAGTTCCCCCCTTTCCGTTCCGTTCAACATACCGGCATGGCTGTGCTTCTTTGATGTAGTCCTTTGTTCATTCCGTCCCATCGCTCTGTCTTCTCCGTGGTAAATTTATTTAGCAGATAATACATGCCTGACCTCGCTCGAAACATGTGCATTTACTTCTCCAATTTTTTTTTTTAATCTTAAGCAACGCAGCTAGTTTCGCTCCTGAAAGTAGCGTCCGGGAGCTCCAGAACTCGCACAAGTGCTTTCCGCTCAGTGCCCCCACCCCTCCTTTTTTCAAACTCGGGGGTGATTTATGGACAACCACGGGCGAGACAGCATCTTCCCACCCCCTGGGAAGATCAGGGAGACTGATATACTCCCCATAATCAGCCTCTAATTATCTCGTGCGAGCCGGATAGATGGTATTGTCGGCCATCTTCCAAGGCGCCCCTAGCGGGCCCCCATGCTGAGTGACTTCAAGGGTGCTTTCTTGTGGGACTGGAGACCCTGCTGGGTTCTTTCCAGACTCTCTGAGTGAGTTCCATATGCACAAATATTGCTGACACTTCCCCTTTAATGTGCCATCTTTTCTTTATGGCTAGACTGTTCCTCACGCCAGGTGTACCAAAAGGTGTCGCCCAGGATATGCCAAGGTGGTTCAAGAAGACAAGCCGGTTTGCTGCTACGCTTGTGTTCCGTGTGGGGAAGGGACCGTATCTACACAGGAAGGTGGGTGACGCCACAGGAGATGGAATTTGTTGGGAGAATATGAATAGGGCAACATATTAGTCAGACACATTCTGGGAAGATTCTAAAGACATATTTGGATGCAGATCCTTTCTTGATTTTTAATCCCCTCCCAGGAAGTAATTTGAAAGAAATGACTCACAGGAAGCAATCTCTGGGATGCAAATTGGGTTCAGCCTGCCCTGCCCATAAGGCACAATTTGTTGGGAGAATATGAATAGGGCAACATATCAGTCGGAAACTTTCTGTGAAGATTCTAAAGACATATTTGGATGCATTTTTAATCCCCTTCCAGGAAGTAATTTGAAAGAAATGACTTGCAGGAAGCGAACTGTGGGATGCCAGTTGGGTTCAGCCTGCCCTGCCCATAAGGCACAGCTTTGGCTATTTTATACCAAGCCTTCTAGGATCAGAGAACCAGAACCACCCTCACAAAAGGAAATTAAAAATGTCTTCAAAATAAACGAGAAATAGTGAAAATAGCAAATATTTATTTAAAGAGAGAAACCATGATGCACAATAATCAAAAAAATTAGGTGAACATTCCATTCCATTGCATTGTAGAACAATAAAAAATTATGGAATTTCAGCAGGAAGTTATTGGATATCCCAGACAAGGAGTTTGAGAACAGCTGTAGCAGCTTGGAAGAGAGGAGATCAAGAAATTAAAAATAAATAAATCATAAGTTGTGTGTCCTTGTTTCTCAGTTTGACCCTTTTACATGGTTTGCATGTTTTGTGGTATTTTATTCATTGTGACTTACTGTTTTTTATTGATTATAGATTAGTAATTCTTTATTGTACATGATAAGTGATAGCTGTTTATTATTTGTGGACACTTTATTAAATTTTAGTGTTTACTATTCCTTAGTATTATTACTGAATAGTATTGAATTTTGCTTAATTTGATATGTTGTTTATTTTAAAGTTATGCTTTTATTATGACTTTTTGTTTGTGTGTATTACGCCTGTGATCTTTGCTGTCTAATTTGTTGTTTCTTCAGCTTGTAACCTTCCTTCTGCATAGCAATATAGAAAGGCAGTATACAAATTAAAAGTGAAATGAAATATGGAAATGAAGTAGTGTTACTGCCCAAAAACTATCCCATAAGGAAATGCACCGAAGAAGCTTTCCTTTTTAACAATACATTCTCGTTTTCTGATATCTCCCATATGAGTGCATTTCTCGACATGTAATAGAATATGTCTGTAAGCAAAGCCAAAGCCATTCCTTTTCTCCTCCTCAGATGCAGAGCGTTGCACCAAATGTCCAGAAGAACAATATCCAAACAAGGACCGAGATCACTGCATTCCGAGGATTATCACCTTCCTATCATATAAAGAATATTTGGGGATTATCCTGACGTCTTTGGCTCTCTTCCTGTCCTTAAGCACAGGCTTTGCTGTAGGGATCTTCATTAAATACAAGGAAACTCCCATAGTCAAAGCCAACAACAGGGACCTCTCCTTCATCCTCCTTGTCTCCCTCCTGCTGTCCTTCTTGTCTTCCTTCCTCTTCATTGGCCGTCCCAGGAAAGTCACCTGCCTCCTTCGACAAACGGCCTTCAGCACCATCTTCTCGGTAGCTGTGTCCTCTTTGCTGTCCAAAACCATCATGGTGGTGCTGGCCTTCCTGGCCACAAAGCCAGGGAACAGGGTGAGGAGATGGTTAGGGAAAAGTCTGGCCAACTCCATTGTCATTTCCTGCTCCAGTGTCCAAATGGTCCTTTGCATCATTTGGCTGGGCATCTCTCCCCCATTCCCAGACTCTGACAAGCATTCCCAGGCTGGAGAGATCACCCTGCAATGCAATGAAGGGTCTATTGCCATGTTTTATGCTGCCCTGGGTTACATGGGCTTCCTGGCTGCCATCTGCTTCACAGTGGCTTTCTTAGCTAGGAAGCTGCCTGGGGCCTTCAATGAAGCCAAGCTGATCACCTTCAGCATGCTGGTCTTCTGCAGCGTTTGGGTCTCCTTTGTGCCCACCTACCTGAGCACAAAGGGGAAATACATGGTAGCCGTGCAGATCTTCTCTATCTTGGCTTCCAGTGCTGGGCTTCTGGGCTGCATCTTCATTCCCAAATGCTACATTCTTGTTCTGAGGCCTGATCTGAACACAAAGGAACACCTGGCCACAAAAACTAAAGTTGTTGCCTGATTCTTAACTGTATTCCACCATAGTAGTAATGAAACACACAGAGCTGCCTTGGGAATGAATTTATCTCCTTAGATAAAGTTTGCTCTTCATTTTTCATTCATCTTTAATGATGAAAGGGAATCATTGAATCACATCCCTGGAGTGTTTCTGGACATACAACTTTTAGGAATAACCCTACCTGTAGAGATACACGAAGTGCAGCCTCCCTCTTCATACATAATTATCTTTCTCTACCATATCCAGTTTGTACTTTGACATGACCCAACTTCCTTTCTTCCTGAGTTCATAACCTAAGCCTACATAGTAACTTAGTGTAACTTGAAATTCTGCTTCTAGTATTAAAAACAGCAGCTGAAAAACGGAATCTCACTTGAGTGTATTAATGCTTGAGGGAACCACCAGAAGGCCCTTGGAGCTGGTCCTAAGTATCTGGTCTGGACGATGGGTGTGGAGACGCTTCTTTAAATATACAGGGCCAATGTCATTTAGGGTTTTCAAGGTCGGCATCAGCCAATGAATGTGACAGCTGTCTGTTTGGTGGGAGTGAGAGGGGCACCACGATAGCTGGAGCCAGAGACAATGATGGAGAAGAACCACCACTTGTAAGTAAGAAGGCAGATGAGTGGTGGTGGCATGAAGGCAGGTTGAGATTGGTGGGGTAGTCCCCACTCACCCCCATGGAGCAGACCTCTCACTTATTTGCACTGAGCTGCTGGAGAAGGGCAGGATGCATCCCTTTTGTTTCCCTCTCTTATATAGCACCAGCACTCATAAACGTCCAATGAATCTGAAGGTTAGGAGATTGAGAGCAAACAAAAGATTGAATCATGCAGTACATAGTTACTTCCCCCAAATGCCAGTTGCTGGTGACCAGTGCCTGGCAAGGCCCATTGCTTTCATGCCCTGCTTGTGAGCTTCTCAGCAATGTCTGATTGGCCACTGTGTTGCAGGACTAGATGGGACTTTGGACTAACCCAGCAGGGCTGTTCTTAGCAAAGGTCAAGCCAAACTCATCCCCGAAATGCAAGTGACTCATGTTGCAGTTTGAAGCCACATCTGTGATTTGGTGTAAACATATTTCCCCCCAGCTCTGTCCCTGCCCCTTGAACCATGTAGAGATCCTGGGAACTTTCTTCCCCTTATAATTATAAAAATGATAGTGATTTATTCTTCCCAAAGCTCAAGAGAGATCCCTGGCAATTGCCCAAACATCAGAAGCCAAGGAAGCCTGAGGTTATACGTGTCACACTGTGCTGGAGGGTGTTGACTTCTTCTGATTATTTGGCTGTGGGGGAGAAAGGAGAAGTCAAAATAGAGGTGTAGGAGGCCAAGCCAGAATTACCTCCCTGCTGCGGCTTCTGCTGCCGCCTCTGCTTCTAATGCACCATCAAGTCTGGGGGAAGTTGAAGGCAAAGTGCTCCTTAAATTTGACGAGGGAAGAAAATGAAGCGCAGAGTTACTCCCGGCCTGGAGACTTCCTCATTAGCGGAATCATATCTCCAAGAAGCTTTGCTGAGCAACTTCCATATAACTTTTCCCAGCCCCCAGTAACGAAGCTTAAAGTGTAAATAATTAAATACATCCTGAATGTCATGCTTCTTGACCACCACTTCAGTGGTTCTCTTTAACAGGGAAATAGTTCTTATTTCAGGGATAGGGAGACAGTGCAGTACAATATAATAGACAAGTTATCACAGTGAGTCTACTATGAGTATTACATTTAAGAAACACAGAACTGTTTGCTTGAACAACTTAAGGTATCACAAGAAATCATATTTAAATATCAAAACATGTAAAGGAATTATCAAAAGGTCCACATAAAGAGGCATACAGCAAAAGCTGCACAATGCGAAACACTCTCCCCAGAGAGGCTCGCCTGGTGCCATCATTACATATCTTTAGTCACCAGGCAAAAACAGTCGTCTTTCATAAGGCGTCTGACTTTTCATTATTAGGGTCTATTTAAGTGGGTGGGGTGGTCCAATCTAGCTTTTAAAAGTAGATTTAATTTTTTAATGCATGTTTTTGTTTCTTTGTTTCATATAATCGTACATTGCTTTGAGTTGCTGTGGAAAAGACGGCAAATCGATTTAATAAATAATAATGCCAGAGACACCGATTTGGGGAGGTCGTTCCCTCTCAGCGTCATCCTGTGTAACAAGGATGTTTTGGTGACGAAAAGTGAGATAAACCTTGTTGCTGAAGCCACTTTTCTCATCCTCAGATGCAGATAATTGCCACAAATGTCCAGAAGATGAATATTCAAACAAGCACCAGAATCAATGTATCCCTAAAATCATCATCTTCCTGGTTTATGAAAAATATTTGGGGATAATCTTAGCTTCTATTACGCTATTCTTGTCTTTGACAACAGGCATCATATTAGGAATCTTCATTAAATGTAAAGAAACTCCAATAGCCAAAGCCAAAAACCGGGACCTCTCCTATATCCTCCTCATCTCCCTCCTGCTTTCCTTTTTGTCCTCCTTCCTCTTCATTGGAAGGCCAAGGAAAGTGACCTGCCTTCTCCGACAAATGGTCTTCAGCATCATCTTCTCGGTTGCCATTTCTTCTGTGTTGGCAAAAACCATCATGGTGGTGCTGGCCTTCCTGGCCACAACGCCAGAGAACAGGGTGAGGAGATGGTTGGGGAAAAGTCTGGCCAACTCCATTGTCCTTTCCTGCTCCAGTGTCCAAATGGTCCTTTGCACCATTTGGCTGGGCATCTCTCCCCCATTCCCAGACTCTGACAAGCATTCCCAGGCTGGAGAGATCACCCTGCAATGCAATGAAGGGTCTGTTGCCATGTTTTATGCTGCCCTGGGTTACATGGGCTTCCTGGCTGCCATCTGCTTCACGGTGGCTTTCCTGGCCAGGAAGCTGCCTGGGGCCTTCAATGAAGCCAAGCTGATCACCTTCAGCATGCTGGTCTTCTGCAGCATTTGGGTCTCCTTTGTGCCCACCTACCTGAGCACAAAGGGGAAATACATGGTAGCTGTGCAGATCTTCTCTATCTTGGCTTCTAGTGCTGGACTCCTGGGCTGCATCTTCATGCCCAAGTGCTACATTTTTATACTGAGGCCTGACCTAAATACAAAGGAATACCTGACAATAAAAACTAAAGGCCTCTGATCTTGAGTACTATGTATAGGGACAGATTCTGCGTACAACAGAATCTGAAGCAGAACCAGTTTTGTCTCCAGAGGGGGAGGGGTGTATCTGAGAAGCAGAGCTGGTTCCACCCAAGTTCTATGCCCAATATCTCCAGTTTAAAGCATGAAGAAGTGGAACCAGGAAATGCCACTTTCATTCTGAGATCCTGCCAGTTAGAGGGGATAATACTTAGCTGGATGGGCCGGTGGGCTGCATACACATCAAACGTTTGAGACACAGCATGTGACCCCCCCAATGAATACTAGGAGCTGTAGATTACCCCCCACAGAGCTACAGCTCCCAGTATTCTTAACAAACTACACACTTTTCTTACAGGGATGCTCTCATGTTCTTCACTCGAGTAGGACTCTGGCAGAGACACATGTCCGACTGGCATGTTCTCTCCCTCCTGGTCTTTCGTTTGGGAGCTTCAAAAGCTTTCTTCAGCCCGAACATCACAGCGACCAATGCCAACCGACACCGGCACACTTAGGGATCTGCAGAGTTTGTGCACCTTGTGTGACAGACCTCAGCAACTCAGCATTTTGGCTAATCTACTTTATTTACATATAAACACACACGGAGCACTGCAACATGGCTCCCTCTTTCTATAGCATTAGACAGCAAAGAGAAAAAGAGCAAAGGACAATAGTCCCACTTCATGGAACACAGTAACACAAACATCCTGTCTCTGTCACTTCCCACTCTGTGGAGTTAAAACATACACCATCATGTGATAGACAAAAATCCCATGACTGCACTCATAGATCAGGAATTCTAACACTTCACTGGTGTGCAGAAGTTTTGGGTCACTAGGAGCATAGTCGGTTGCTGTATTCAGGGCCAGGTTGGAATTTCCCAGTTGGCTAATTGGCTCCAGCCCTCTGGTTTTCACCATCCTCATAGTGAATCCCTCGTGGCAGGGATTGTGAGTTTTATGGGTTTAGAACTTTTCTGAACTTTCTAGAACTTTCTAGTTCTCAAAAGAACAAGCTAGTAGCTGTGTTTATCTAGATAGTCATGTGAGACTCGAGGTCATTGCTTGGGGTGGGTATTATATTCTCCTGCCTGCTGGGCAGTTTAGCTTCAGTCTTTCTTACTTCCTGTTTTCCTGTCTATTTTTTTGCTTCTGTAACCTGATGTGCTCTTCGGGGTGGAAGATATTTGTACCTTACTGGGGATCCAGTAAGTCCTGTATGCTTTTAAACCTCAGTAAACTGTTGCTGAAGAATTCTGCTATATGAGTGAGTGTTTCTTTGGAACTATGCATGGGAGATGGACTTCATGCATTTGATACTCTGCTATTTTCTGCCCATGTGCTGGAGTTGCTCAAGCATGGAGACAGGGGTGGCGGCTGATTTTTGCACCAGCCCTGTCACTTCATAGCAATTGTCGCAACTTTGACAGTTTAGGCATTGTTTAGCTGACTTTGATATTGGTAATTGGGGAAGGCTATTGAGCAGGTGGTTACAGGCCAGATCCAGGCACTCTGACAGGAAAATGATTTTCTAGATCCATTTAAATTAGGGTTTACTTTGTTGGACCTCAGTGTCTGGGCTGAGTGATGGGGGTGGAGATGCTCCTTCAGGTATACTGGGCGGAGGCTAATTAGGGCTTTAAAGGTCAGCACCAACACTTTGAATTGTGCTCAGAAACGTACTGGGAGCTAGTGGAGATCCTTTAGGACCAGCGTTATATGGTCCTGGCAGCCACTCCCAGTCACCAGTCTAGCTGCTGCATTAGTTGTAGTTTCAGGTCACTGTCAAAGGTAGCCCCACGTGGAATGCATTGCAGTAGTCCAAGCGGGAGATAACCAGAGCATGCACCATTCTGGTGAAACAGTCTGCAGGCAGGTAGGGTCTCAGCCTGCGTGCCAGATGGAGCTGGTAGACAGCTGCCCTGGACACAGAATTGACCTGTTCCTCCATGGACAGCTGTGAATCCAAAATGACTCCCAGGCTGCTCACCTGGTCATTCAGGGGCACAGTTACCCCATTCAGAACCAGAGAGTCCCCCACACCTGCCCTCCCCCTGTCCCCTGTGTCCCCCCACAAACAGTACTTCTGTCATGTCAAGATTCAACCTCAATCTGTTAGCCGCCATCCATCCTCCAACCACCTCCAGACACTCACAAAGGACCTTCACCGCCTTCACTGGCTCTGATTTAAAAGAAAGGTAGAGCTGGGTATCATACACATACTGATGAACACCAAGCCCCCTCCTGCCCTGCTTTTGAGCTTCCCAGAGCTGTCTGATTCACTACTGAGAGATACAGAGTCCTGGACATGATTGTCCTTTGGTCTGATCTGGCTGCAGGGCTCTCCCTAGGTAAAGGTAAAGGGACTCCTGACCATTAGGTCCAGTCGTGGCCGACTCTGGGGTTGCAGCGCTCATCTCGCTT